CCTTGTTCAATATTCTGCAGTTAGCCTTAATAGCTAACTCACACCAGTCTTAGACTCTCCTCACTCTGGCACTATTTCCCTGGTGGGCTTCTCTGATCTACCGCTGTGGCTCCTCAGCTCCAGAGGGCCTTGTCCCGGTTATGGTGCTCTTTCTGACAGTGTTCTTGAAGTGATTTCCAACTGCTCCTGTCTCAGCTCCAGAACTCAGTCTCACGTCACCTCTGTTGCCCGGGAGAATCTGGTGAACCTACGGACAGCTAATGCCAATGGCTTTATTTGGCTTTCAAAAGTTAAAAAAAAGACCCGTAATTTGCTCCGTAGGATCCCAGTAATCCCTGTTTTCTGGGAAATTGTCTCTGGTCCATACCCAGCAAGTCAGCATTTAAAATCACTGGTTTACAAACCCCACTATTTTTGCACGCCACGTATCACTTTACTTGGATTTCTCACTTTACTTGGATATTCACTTTATTTGGATTTAGTTTTTACATATGCATATATATACATATATATATATATATATATATATATATATATATATATATATATATATATATATATATACACTCACCGGCCACTTTATTAGGTACACCTGTCCAACTGCTCGTTAACACTTATTTTCTAAGCAGCCAATCACATGGCGGCAACTCAGTGCATTTAGGCATGTAGACATGGTCAAGACAATCTCCTGCAGTTCAAACTGAGCATCAGTATGGGGAAGAAAGGTGATTTGAGTGACTTTGAAAGTATTTCAGAAACTGCTGATCTACTGGGATTTTCACGCACAGCCATCTCTAGGGTTTACAGAGAATGGTCCAAAAAAGAAAAAACATCCAGTGAGCGGCAGTTCTGTACGCGGAAATGCCTTGTTGATGCCAGAGGTCAGAGGAGAATGGCCAGACTGGTTCGAGCCGATAGAAGGGCAACAGTGACTCAAATAACCACCCGTTACAACCAAGGTGGGCAGAAGAGCATCTCTGAACGCACAGTACGTCGAACTTTGAGGCAGATGGGCTACAGCAGCAGGAGACCACACCGGGTGCCACTCCTTTCAGCTAAGAACAGGAAACTGAGGCTACAATTTGCACAAGCTCATCGAAATTGGACAATAGAAGATTGGAAAAACGTTGCCTGGTCTGATGAGTCTCGATTTCTGCTGCGACATTTGGATGGTAGGGTCAGAATTTGGCGTCTACAACATGAAAGCATGGATCCATCCTGCCTTGTATCAACGGTTCAGGCTGGTGGTGGTGGTGTCATGGTGTGGGAAATATTTTCTTGGCACTCTTTGGGCCCCTTGGTACCAATTGAGCATCGTTGCAACGCCACAGCCTACCTGAGTATTGTTGCTGACCATGTCCATCCCTTTATGACCACAATGTACCCAACTTCTGATGGCTACTTTCAGCAGGATAATGCGCCATGTCATAAAGCTGGAATCATCTCAGACTGGTTTCTTGAACATGACAATGAGTTCACTGTACTCAAATGGCCTCCACAGTCACCAGATCTCAATCCAATAGAGCATCTTTGGGATGTGGTGGAACGGGAGATTCTCATCATGGATGTGCAGCCGACAAATCTGCGGCAACTGTGTGATGCCATCATGTCAATATGGACCAAACTCCCTGAGGAATGCTTCCAGCACCTTGTTGAATCTATGCCATGAAGAATTTAGGCAGTTCTGAAGGCAAAAGGGGGTCCAACCCGTTATTAGCATGGGGTACCTAATAAAGTGGCCGGTGAGTGTATATATATATATATATATATATATATATATATATATATATGTATAAAAACTGTAACTGGAGCGTGTAACATGAGTAATTTCCCTCTGGGATTATTAAAGTATTTCTGATTCTAAGGGCGTCATGTCGTCTACCCCTAGATTCAAAGAGGAATTGGGGCAACTATACCCTTATGGGAATGCACAATATTCAGGGGTAGAGCTGAAATGGAGGGCTAAGGGGTGTATTGGGATAGGCCCTAAATATTGGTCAATTGTACTTGGTGAAAATCTTCTTAAAAATGCTAAAGTGTAATTCTGTCTACTTGGGCATTGGGCATTCTTAAATGTATGAATACACTTTTATTCAGGTTATTTGAACAGGATATAATGATAGATGAATCCTAACAGTGATGAATAGATTTACCATATTTTTTTTTTTTTTTTACAATTAACAGTTTAATCAAACTGAAGTATATGGGACAATATATAGATATTTCAATTTCTTGCTATTACAAAAAGTTGAAATAGATGAGAAGTGAATCACCTCAGTTTGACCTTATTTCCCCATCCCAACATCATAAAGCTCACCCAGCCCACTGGGTCATCTTTAAAGTCTTTGGGTGGCCATTTGCACAACAAGAAAGCTGCCTTGGCAGAGAGTCTTATTGCTGCTTAATGTGACCCAGGGTCGGCCCTCAGTGCTGGAGCTTTTCACACGTCTTGCTTCTTACCTCTCAAGTTACGTCCACACTGTCCTTCTGCAACAAAGAGACAACTGACTGCCCTGTCCTTCCCAGACCCCATCACCGCGGATCCACTGGAAATTTCCCTGTGCTATCATTCCAGCATCTATGGAAATTAAGTGTCTTGTAAATGAGGCCAACCCCTAATTAAGAAAGGCTACTGGGAATGTCCAAAGTGGCTGATGTTAATGTTGTTACTCTATCTGCTGTCATAGAAAGGATAGTTTCAGACTGTTTGTGTACCTGGTTTTTGTCCCAAAGGCCCCTCAAAGAAGGACACTGTGTTACTTATTATTTCTTCTTAAACAAATAATAATGGCTGCATTGATTTCTTTCATGAAGATTGTGTGCTCAGCCTATGGATTTGACTTAGTCTCACAGGGTAGAAAGATAAATGTTGTCATATTTCACCAGGAGATTGGGAGTCTATTAGGTACCTAAGACTGAAAATTGCAGTTAATTAATAGGTCATTACCATTAGTTAAATAATAATAACTGATGTCTGCTTACTCACTAGGATTCCTTAACCAGGGTAGTGCCTGTGAATTGGCTGTTAATCCAGTTGTCCTTCACCAATTTAGTAATTTAGACTGAGGTTGTCAGCAGAGTTATTAATCACCAACCAATACAATTTTGTCTCTGTTCTCCAAGTGATAACCAAAAATGGTGGATCTGGCTCTGAGTGATATGTTGTCCATTGTACTGCTCAGTTTAATTACATTCAATTATACTTTATTGATCCCCAAAGGGAAATTCAGTTACCCTGAAAATAAATAGCCACAACCATGCTACAGGCTAATGCACACTATAGTGTTACGCCATTTGAGACGAGTGTCTGAACGTCAAGTGGATGAAAAAGTAGTGAACTCGAAATTTCCCACATTGCTCCTTAAAAAGTAGAGATCATCAATGGTCACGAGATGAACAAATATATCCCAGAGTGCTTTGCAAGAGTTCTCCCCACAAAAGATCATGAGATTTGTTGTGGCAACGACAAAAAACAAAGATTGGGCATGCACCGTGCAAAAAGGCTGTCATGATCTTGGCGCTGATGGTTTGGTTTTTATTTAAGTTGTGTGTTTGCCTCCCATCAGCGCCAGGTTATTCGTTTGTTTAGGTGAGACGTTTCCGAGCAATCTTCAGTCTGTCTGTTTTCCTGATTATGACCAGTTTTCTGCCCTGAGGATCTCGAGTTTTGCCTTCCCCCTATCTGCTCTGTTTGTCGCATCTGATCCTGGATTCTACCGGCTTCTGAACCTGGAACTGTCTCCTGACTTCGGCCTTGGATTTCCCTTCTGGAGTCTGTTGCTGCTCGGCATCTGCTGCTCGCTCTCTAGAAACTCTGGGGGCGTCGCCCGTAGCAACAGCGGTCAAGGCTCCACGAGCGGACTAAACTTTGAATCAGGTCAGTGACTTTGCTCCAAGTCGTATTCAGCTCCTCATCCAGTCACTGACCTGTATTCTCCAATTTCTGCAGATATCCGCCCCGCCTCGCCTTGAATTCTGGGTCCAATATTCTGAGCTCATTACAAAGGCGGAGTTTTGTGACCAAAGCAGAGCGAAAAGTACTGATTATTGTCCAAATGGTTATTTATCTGAGTGCACTATAAAATCCACTATATAATCCAAACACTATATAGTAATTGAGGGATTTGAGTGATTATCCTGCAGCCAGAGTTCTGATGAAAAATAGAGAAGTAACATGTGGGTTACAAGTAACAGCAAGTTAAAGTCCAGAAATTAATCTGAAAACCTGTTGCCAGATTTAAAAAAATTACTTTCACAGATATTTCCCTTCAAGTCTGATTAAAGTTAAGCTGTTTTACTAAAGATATGGACAAATTTCAGTCTGTAGATGTTTCAGCTGGTGGAGAAAAATCTGGAATATCTGTAGCTGGACCTGAAGCTAAAGGTGGTTCTACAGAGAGCTAGATCAGAGGTTTAAATGTAAAAACCCACAAAACTTTTGAGATTTGTTGAAAATGTTGAAAACTATGCACAATTTCCCTTTCTTTTTAATATTGAACTGCCTATTTTGTTCTTCAGCAACATCCCAATCAAACACAGTGCAGTTTATAATTTGAAGGTGGCATATGAGTTAAGGGGGAGGAATACTTCTTCAAGGTTCTGTATTTCAATTTGAAATGGTTAATGCATTCTTACAAACTTCTGTTCATATGTCATAATATCAAACACAATAAAAGCCTCAGTGTTTCCAACCAAATTCTACACCTGAGACATATTTTATCTTCATTTGGCACTTGACAGATCCTGGCGAATAGGATTGCATTCATTCCACATAAAAAAGGAGCCTCTTTGTACAAAAACATTCCTCTTCTCTTTCATTAAAAACATTTCTGCTGACTGTCATTCCCTTTTATTTCTCAATTCCCAGAATTCTGACGTCCCCTCTCTTCTCACACCTTGCTCTGTGTCCACTCCCACTGTTCCTTAAACTCCCTCCCTCTAACTCTCCCTTTCCTTCCCCATCCTGCCCCCATTTCCACCAAAACTGATCTGAGATTAAGTTGAACACAAGCCCTGCTCAAGTTTGCACCTGTTTCCATCAGCTCTGTTTACAGCTTCTTCGAAATCCCCCTCAGATTTCTACATTTTATTCCTGAAGTTTAAAGCTAACAAACTGCTGGATTGTTTGAGGAGTTTGCTGGTAATCCTGTGGTGACAGGATTGTTCAGAAGGCTGTTTATCAGCTCCATCAGGACATCCAGCTGCTCTGCATACCTCCCATCACCTCCACTGTCTCCATCACAGCCATCCTGGCTGGATGGGATACTGCTGCTGCGGAATTTAAAGGTTGGACCTGTGGGGCTAGATGTCCATTCTCTGAAAGCAGGTGAGTGCACATCCTTATCCTACGATGTCTGAATAGTATGAAGTTTTCTGATTTCATTGGAATTCTGTATGCTAAGTAAAAATGTTCTATTAGCTCAAACATTTGGAGAAGGAGAGGTATTTGCTTTCTAATGCAAAAAGAGGTGTGGAAATATAGAAAATTACAGATAAATACTGTCTGACAACCAGTAAAATAACAAGGTTCACAAAGTCAAAGCAGAGCAATTGTGGAAATCTTTCTGTTGATGATGCATGATGAGAGGTTGATGACATAACAGCAGATCTCTATCAGCAGGGACCACTAACTCTGGCACACCTGAGCACATTTTTATTTTTATTTTAACACATTATATGAAAATGACAGAGATCTGAAGGATCTACTCAGCTTAGTTCACACCCTTAATGTGAAAAGATCAGCATGATTGCATCGAAATGACAGATTTTGGCCCAAAGTCCCAAATTATCTCAATGGTCGCATGTTTTAATGTGTTTGATACAAACTTTGTTGTGTGTATGATAACAAATCAATTAAAAAGCAATATATATATATATATATAAAGCAGCAGTCCAGTAAAACACGAGCACATATGGTTATTGATCTGCATAACATGTTGCTCATGTACAGTAGTGCAAGGCAAACTTCATTAGGTGTTCACATTCGAATCAAAGTGAACGTCACTTTGACATCTTGTGAGCATTAAATTACAAAAATAAGAATTTGGATAAAGTGTTAATTTCATTTTAGACTCAAAGCACACAAAACCTAGTTCCCTTAGATTTCTGTTGAGTCTGGTCCTCTTTCAAGCATCAACATTTCTCATGCAGCTTCTCATGGCTTAGCTTCACTGATCTGTGTTATAATAGCAAAGCACAATGTTTCATATGTGTGATCCTTAATGGACAGTTACATTCTGCTGAGTTTGACACAAGTCCTGGGGTTTAAAAGACTGTATGTAACAAAACAGCAATATAAAAATACAAATAAAGGTAATTCAAATTACCATATTGTTTTTTGTTAGTATGGAACTTTTCCATCAATTAGTTTCTTGGGATGCATATGTCTTACAAGGTCTGGTTTGCAGTCTTATTTCAAATTGAAAGGCTTTTTTTAAAACATTTTGGAGTAAACTTTTCTTCTGTTCCCCTAATCTCAAACTTCTATTGTTTTTTTCCTGAACATCTATGCAACTTTTTAGATTAGATTTTTTCTAGGATGATAGAAGTCTGCATTAATTCCCTAGCCTTCATTTGAAGGGACGCACTATTTATTATTCTAAGGATTTATGCAAAAATAAATATACAGTAACACCTGCCAAGTATGACTCAACTAAATATGGTGATCATTGCCAAAACATCTAATTGGTGGTATTTGACAAGCTTTCCCACGGTTGGATGAACAACACCCAGTCCAGTAATCTGCTATTTTAGTACATCTTAGCACAACGGGATCCATTCTGTGTGACAAATAGTCTTACCAAGCTTGCATTTTTTCCAGCTCAGCTATCAGGTAGCTTCTCATGACATTCATGCCTCACAAATTAAAGGTTTCACATCGAAAGGCCACTTTTAAAGACCAAGAACCAAACAAGTCTTTTTTATAAGTAACACAAGGATTTCAGTCAATTCCTTCTGGCAGGAGGCTGCGGTCCATCAGGACCAAAACCTCACGCCACAAGAACAGTTTCTTCCCATCCGCTACCAGCCTTATCAACAAGGCCCAGAGAGCGCCATGACACTGACACTGCATCTCTCCCTCCCCTGTTCAGGATCTACAGTAGAAGCTACACCAGCGTAGCATCTCCAGACTTCCTGCATTACATTAACCCACAGTCTACTGTGTATATAGAACATAGCCATATACTATATGTTTTATTTGATCTTGTATGTTTTATATTATATATATCTATAGATTCTTTTTTCTGTAAATATATCTAATTTGTCTGCACCATCAACACTAAGTCAAATTCATTGTGAGTGTAAAGCTACTTGGCAATAAACTTGATTCTCATAATATGCTTAATAATGGAAACAGAAAGCAGTGTAGAAGATTTTTTGAGTTTGTATTAGATGGTAAAAATCAAGCACCCAGCTGCTATAAGAACTGTTCATTCATTCATACTGTGAAGTACCAATTAAAAAATATATATTTTCTTTGTATGTATTAAAATGCAACTCCAGAAGCCTGTCTCTCAAAACACTGTTTTCAAGTTGTTATAGAAAATGGATGAGAATTTGTATTCCTTGTTTAACCACAAATAATCCCCAGTGTCAACAGAATAGGCATTCAGCCCTCCAGGTGCTAACATCTATATTTATCTCTTATGGCTAGTTCACAAATGTTTTTTTTATGGTTCTCCCCCTTAGGACTCTTGAGTTTTTAGTTTTCAGTTATTCTGTTTTGTTGATCATTGATTTATTTTGCATTATATTCGAGCAGTCTTTAGTTATTCTCCATTCCTTGTGCTTGTTTCCATTCACCTTGGCTTCCCTCTAGTTAGTTCCACTCACACCTACTCCATATTCAGCTTATTAGTCCATCCTTTTTTCTGCATATATACAGTATACACCACCTGTGCAGTCAGTCAGTGCTGGTTCCTTGTTGTTAGTTGCTTCCTCGTCTTTGGCTCCCCAAGTGATTTTTACCTGATGTTTTTTTTTTTTTTTTTTTTTTGGCAGTTTTGGATATCTGCTTCAGTTTTTTATTAAATCAACAAGAACTCATCTCTGCTTCACTCATCTCTGCATTTGGGTCCTCAAGCAACTCCACCCCCATTGTTGAAAGATTTATGTTTACCATTGTTGACAACTCTTTCAATAACCTGTGATGTCACTGTTTAATCAACTTATCAGCCACTTTCGTTTATGCAGTACGTGCTTTTCAGTGGCGGCCTTTGCTCTCTGAAACGGGGGAGGCTCGATGGTGTTAAGAAAATCCCAATGTCACGTATTTCATTATCAAATGTTGAAACACATACAGGAAATCACTAAAATGGTCGAAAACAGCTGTTGTGAAGCGCTCTGCAATAAAAAAAACTCCAGAAAGCATGGCAAGAGTTCAGCACAGGCTGAATAACCGCTTTTCCCTCTCTACCCATGAGGAAAACCTCCTCGCTGTCTGGCCACTGTCAGCCAAAAATCCCCTAAGAGGTTTAGCCTCACAGGAAGTGACGTATTTTGGTGTGTTATCCAATCAGGGCTCTATTTTCTCAATGCTAACCTCAGTAGGTTTAGTCCCAAACCTCAACAGAAATTTCTTACTGAAGCTGACAGGCAGTGCTTGTCCTTTTTTGTGCCAAATTTTAAAAACTAACCAGATCATCTATTTATAACTAACATCCTAATATAATGATGATGGTGATGTAAGAATTCCTTAAAGTTAAGCTGTCTTTAGACGGAAGAAAGCCTCTTTGGTTTGATCAAATTAGTAATTTCCTTCATTTTCAATATGAAAATAAAGTAGTAATAAAAAATAAAGACACTAAAGACCAAACACCTTTTTAAATGCACAATACTTGTAGAATGAAATACTTGCTAGACACCACTGCTTCCTGAATAGATGGAAACTTGCCATCCCTGAAGTCCAGTGATCTGTGTTACCTCTGAATTGTTCAGTGTAAGGTATTTATAAATGAATTAAATGAGAGGACTGATCAACACTAGGTAACTTGGAAAAAGCAGCATTTTCTTTCTTTTCTCACCTTAGGAGAGTTTACTATATGATTCATTCAAAACTAACCTGGCATGCTGGAATGATCATGTTTAGCACTGTAGGTTTAGTTTTACACTTTATCAATCTGGGACTGATCCCATTTATTCCGTTCAGGGAAAATAGGAGCATTCAGCAGATCTTTTTAGCTGGTTTGGCAAAGTGATACCAAAGTTCGTTTTTTAGCCAATCACAGTAACAAATGAAAATGTTAGCAGCAGCATGGACCATGAGAAACCACAACAACACATTCCTCTTTCTAAAATGAAATTATAGCTTTTATCTAGGGATGCACGATATTGGGATTTTGGCCGATATCCGATATGCCGATATTTTAAAACTCATGTAGCCGATAACCGATATCGATACCGATGTTAAAGCTGGACAAAAATAAGTAGTCATTGAAAATAGCAGTTTTGTTATCCATTTCTGACACTCTGAAAAATAATATACTCAAATATATTTTCATATGCTGATATCAAATTGATATTTAAAAAAGCGGTATCGATCTATTTTACTTTCAAAATCTCGTGAAATTTCATCGTTCTGTTACAAACTCTGATGATATTTTGCAAATTCTTGTGAGATTTTGTTAGTAAAATAGATCGATACCGCGTCTATATATCAACATATAAAAATATGGCAAAATTTCGTGAATTTTTGGGGGATTTCGTAGCATAACGATGACATATAGCAATATTTCATATTTCAATATTTTTTCCCTCGTCTTTAGAAGTTTTTAAGTCTGTAAAAAAGAAGTTTTTGAGGAAGAAGAAGTTTTTTTTTTTTTTTTTTTAGACTTTAGAAAGTCAGAAGCTGATCAAATATCGGGTTAAATATCGGTGGGGTGGCCGATGACCGATATTCAGTTTTAAGGCCGATACCGATAGGGGGCAGATTATATTGTGCATCCCTACTTTTATCACATCTGTTTTTCTGATTATCTCCGTTCAACTGTGGCTTGAATGTTCAAGACGGCAGTGAAAGAAGAGGGATTCTCGCATTGTGTATTTGTAAACACATCAAGTTTAGCTTGCAGGCTAAGTTTATTTAAAACCCCGACTAGAAAGAAAAGGGCATACTTTATCGTAAAATACTTATTTTAAAAGAATCCATTGAAGAAATGGGAACAATGAGTAAAAACTATCAAATTTTATGAAGTTAATGTTGCACAAATGGTTACATGGGTGAGGTTTAGGTTTTGAACTTTATGAATTGATATAGCACTTTTTGTGAAGAACAAGAAAGTAAATTTTTTTAATTTAGGAAATGTGGAAAAAATATTAAAATACAGAATAATTATTAACACATTAGATCGGAGTTTAAGTAGACTGGCAAGCACTTTCCCCAGGAAAATTAATAGTTAATGATTTACTTGTCTGGGACTTATCCTGAATCCTAATTGCATTTCATGAAATAAGTTTAAGACTCGATATATGGTGTCCCGAAATTTGCTAACCTGAGTTTGCATTCCACTTTACCAATGGGAAACTTTCCAAACCTGTCACCGAACAGCCCCGATGGAGCTCTGCAAGGTCCTTCGCAACAGAACCTTCTCACTTAAAGCCATTAGTGCCCTTGTGTTAACACCCCTGTTCCTTTAGCCAACAAAGCATGGATGGGTCCCAAACAGAGGTAGTAATGAGGTCCTGAGCTGCTTCACAGCTTCAGGCACTGAGACGAAGGAGTAGAGAGAGCCAGTGTCAGCAGCTGCCGGGGACCCAGGTACAGAGGACCCCATGTCTACTGCTGTTGGCTCACATGAGACCCTAGGCAAATGTGATCCTTAGACATTGTTCTGAGATGAATAATGGGACCTTTTAAGAAATCCTCATGGGAGGCCTGGGAGCCTAATGTTAAAGAAGTAACGTGGTGCTGGTTGGATGGTTCCCCCTCCTCTCTGCTTTGTTAAATGGTCTTGTTTATGAGAAGCTGTCCTATGACTCACATCTCCCCACCATTCCATTAGCTTTGAGCGAAAGGCAATGCAGATTAGGTGACATGACTTTAGTATAATCTCTTTCCTCATCTCCGTCTGTTTTTCTTGCTTTTTCAGAATGGTCAGACGATGCTGTCCAGTCATTCTGCTCCAACTGTTAAGCATTTTTGCACAGACAAAAGGTACTAAATGTCCCAGATCCTTTAATAAGTTGTCCAGTAATTATTGTCTTTTCTTGTTTGATAAAGTAAATATTAAATTTTAATTTACCCTCTTTTTTTTTAGCTTTTACTCAGGATGTTTTGTACCCATATGGACCAGGCCATAGAGATCTTGAAACTCAAAAGATGGATGACGGAAGTTCACCAGAAATTCCTCTGCTCATTCCTTTTATTTTCTTCAATGTGCCTTACCGTTCCATCTATGTAAGTCTTTCATCAGAAATTCACTTATTTTAACCAGTTTCATCATATATGATGCCCTATAACAATTCTTTCTGCTGTGTTTGCAGGTCAACAACAATGGTGTGATCTCCTTCAGTGTTCAAGTTAGCCAGTTCACACCTGAGGCTTTCCCTCTGAGCGACAGCAGATCTTTCATTGCTCCACTCTGGGCAGATGTGCACAACGGCATCCGTGGAGATGTCTACTACAGAGAGACCACTGATCCTGAACTACTAGAAAGAGCAACCCAAGATGTTCGCAAGCATTTCAAAAGCATGCCTGGCTTTACAGCCACATGGGTTTTTCTAGCAACATGGCACCAGGTTACCTTCTACGGAGGGAGCCAGACAACCCCGGTACATTCAAACAGTATTTAGTCGTTTTCATTGACTAACTAAAATTTCCTAAAATAACATAAAGAAAACTGGACCATTTATTTTCTATATATTTAATCACATTAGGCTCTCCTATATAGCAATGCTCCATCATGACATTTTTTCTTTGATATTAGTCGGTTATTAAAGATATAACGAAGGATTTTCACACATTTTTGAACAGACCCACCCTCTCAACTTTTAAAAAACATGAACATGCACAACCCTGTACTCGCTCCTAATAGGTAACACCTATTAAACGTGTGCGAGTGCATGTACAAGCCCATATCTCCATGTGTTAGCTCTGTTTAAAAGTTGCTGTTTGCATCGCTCATACAAGCTTTCCAATAGAACATTTGCTATTTTTCCACTATATCAGACGTGTAACTGAAAATGGGAACGAGCACATAGGACGGCCTTACGTAAACATATTACCCGAATGATTGACAATTAGGAGGACCACTTATTTTGATGATCCACCCGGAAAAAGAACATCCTCCACTATACCTTTAACTCTAGGTGGGATTGTTTACCTCTTTATCACAAATTAATTTTCAAAACTTTGACACACTTGGTGTTACATTGATTATCAGATCACCATCTATGTTATTTTAACACTCTTTACCAAAGCAAAAGTTTAAATTCATATCTATGATTCAAGGTGTTCTAAATGAATTAAAATCAATTAAATTCATTCTAATACAATGCGGTCAGAACACTATATATGAAATGTGTAAAAGTTTAAGTTGAATACTACGCTAAATTTGTGACCATATGTTAACTATGAAGCAGTCACTTATTCTAGATAATAATGTGATGACCGTAGAAGAAAATAACTTTAAATTTTTTTTGACCAGAAGCAAATTAGCAGGGAAAGAGTTTACAAAATAGTTGATCAAGTGTGGGTTTAGACAAAAGTAATGAGGCACCGGGAAAATAACAGCGGCTCTGGCAGAGGGGTACTTTAAACTTTATTAAGAGAGCAAATATATGAGTTCACCTGAAATGTATTTGTTTCTTTGAGAGAATAACATCTCTTTCCATTTCGTAAAGCCTGCCTGATATAATAAAGAATGGCGCACAGGCAAATCTGCCTCTTTTACTAAATTCAATGCAATAATAAAAAATAAATAAATAAAAGTAGTCTGAGTTTAGTTAACAGTTTAACTCAGAAATGCTTTGTCAGGATAGGATGGCTATTCAATCAAAGGTTAAATATTGTTAAGATAAATTTCAGCCTACATAAATATTTTGTTTTCAACTGTTTATTTTCTTTACATTTTTTTATGAGAATACTGAGAATATTGAGAATTAAATTAAATTGAAATTGAATTGAATACACTAATAGCCTAAAACAGGAGAATTTCTAAATCTAACAACCTTTCAGTGAAAAAAAATAGTTAAACATCTGTAGAAACATACTGTGCATCAACATAATGTAATTTTTTTTTATTATAATCTGAAATCTATTAACTCAGAGTTAATGACTGACTAATATCCAAAAATCTATAGGCTACTTAATTTATATGTTTTTTGCATTTAGTTTCTAGATTTTTAAAATATTTCTCATTGGATTGATAGGTGAACACTTTCCAGACAGTACTTATCTCAGATGGTGTGGCATTCTTTAGTATGTTTAACTATGGAGAAATTACATGGAGCACAGGAACAGCCAGCGGGGGAGATCCTTTGACTGGACTTGGTGGAACAACAGCTCAGGTATTCTGCATAGATCATATATAGTACAGGCGTTACATCAACAATGTGACTTACATTTAGTTTTTATGTTATTTTAGGCAGGTTTTAATGGTGGAGATATTGGTCACTTCTTCAACCTGCCGGGATCCCGGTCAAATGATGTGGTAAATATTGAACAGACAACCAACGTAAACATGCCTGGACGCTGGTTTTTCCGCGTTGACACTGAGTTGATAGATCCTGCCAACGGCTGCAGCTACAATGGTGAACTTCAAAAATCTGTTTTCTGTCCCTATGGTCCAAATATTATTGGACTTACCTTGGACACCTTAACATCTCTTTATTTTGTGCTTCTACTTCATCAGGACGGTTTTACAGACGAGGGGAGATTTTCTGGATTTCTGAACAGTGCTCACAGCGTTGCAGATGCCTTGATATTAACAATGAGGTGCAATGCCTCGAGGCTCCGTGTGGACAGTTTGAGAACTGCGAGCAACTGGAGGGAGCCTTTTACTGCCAACCTACTCGCACCAGTACCTGCGTGGTATTTGGAGATCCTCACTATCACACCTTTGATGGCTTCCTCTATCACTTCCAAGGCACCTGCTCGTATTTGCTTGCTCGGCCATGCTGGGAGATGGTAGGACTGCCCTTCTTCAGTGTGGAGGCCAAAAATGAGAACCGAGGCGTTACCTCAGTTTCCTGGTTAAGGGATGTGACAGTGGAGGTCTACGGTCATAGAGTCTTGATACCTAAAGGCAGTTTGGGAAGTGTCCAGGTAGGAACCTAGTGGAGTGGAAAACATTTCTTACAGATTTCTTCTAGTTTTGTTTGCGAACAGACGTTTCTAACAAAGACAACCTGATTAAATTGATTGAAAACCATATTGAGTTTTCTAACGATTACTTCTTTAAAAAAGGTGTTTTACATAACTGCGGGGGAGTCTGGTCTGCCTTGCTCCTGCTTGACTGTTTTATTTCAGCCATATTGCTAATTCTTTAACCATTAACATCCTGTTTAGGGCAGCATCTACATTGAGGCTTTTGCTGTTTGAAAGCCTTTTTTAACAATTGAAAAAACATGGTAGAAAACAATGACGGGATAAATACACATCTTTATAGCAATTGATGTTTAACCTAATAGGTATTAAATAAGGGACTGATGTCCTGTGACATAGAAGGTTTGAGTTTTTGCATGTTCTTTATATTTTTCTTCAAATTAAACCATATATTGTTCTTTAGGTGGACGGTTTGATGAAGACATTGCCAGTCCAACTCGACCTTGGTGCAATAAAGGTGTACCAATCTGGAGTTGCTGTGGCCTTAGAGACAGACTTTGGACTCCTGGTAACCTATGATGGCGAGCACTATGCCTCCATCTCATTACCAAGCTCCTACTTCAACAACACCTGTGGTCTATGTGGAAACTATAACGATGACCCTGCGGATGATCCAGTGCTTCCTGATGGCTCTCTTGCTGAAAGCGTGGTGGAGTTGGGAGGAAGCTGGCGAGCAGAAAACACAGACTGGAAGTGCTCAGACGGTTGTGCTCAGAATTGTAGCGTTTGTGACCCTCTAACAGAGGCCATGTACTTTCGTTCAGATTACTGTGGGCTAATAAACAAAACTGATGGACCTTTTCGAGACTGCAGAGCTGTGGTGGACCCTACTGCCTTTGTATATAGTTGTGTGTATGATATGTGCAGCAACAGGGATAACATCACTACATTGTGCCATGCCATCCAGGCCTATGCTTTAGCCTGTCAGGCCCTCGGTGTCACAATAAGACCATGGAGAACTCGCACCTTCTGTGGTGAGATACAGTATGCATTGGTTTTTTATAAGTATACATGCACTCACATTATTATGTTTAATCTTATGTATTTTCTTTGTTTTTCATATGCTCTAAGCAATGTCATGTCCAGAATTCAGCCATTATGAGGTTTGTACAACTGCTTGCCCGGCTTCCTGCTCCGACCTCACTGCTCCCCTATACTGTGTTCATCCCTGCACTGAGGGCTGCCAGTGTGAATCTGGATACGTCTTGAGCGGCAATCGCTGTGTTCAGCAAGATGACTGCGGATGTGAGCACAACGATCTGTATTACCCCCTCAATCACACATTCTGGGCTGGTCCCAGCGGGGCGGAAGGTGACTGTACCCTCCGCTGCACATGCGGGTTTGCTGGAGAAGTTTCCTGTTTCAATGAGTCCTGTAAAGAGGGTGAAGTGTGTGTGGCCGAACTAGGCTTACTGGGCTGTTACCCTCGAAGAGAGGGAGTGTGTTCGGTCACCCAGAACTCAGTGACATCTAGCTTTGATGGCACTTTTCTCCTGTTTCCGGATGACAGCTCTTACTACCTGCTAAAGCTGTGTGGTCCGATACCAGTTAATGGGTCATTGGTAGAGGTGAAGATCAGCAGGCGGTTCATTAACAAAGGTCCCACTTGGATAAGACCTGTGATAGTAACTGTGGCTAACCTTGAGGCACAGATGGGAGGCACAGACTTTGATACAGTAAAGGTTAGTATTTTCTATTATTTATTTTTTATTCTGTTGGCAAAAATCTAGCATTTGCAACTGCTTTGCTCCTTGTACCCAGGTGAATGGCGAACCTGTTGTTCTTCCATTTGTCCATCCGATGGGGACAATGATAATCTACAAGGCACCAGGAAATACAACTGTGGTGGAGTCCAGAGGTCTGCTCCGTGTTCATTACACGCGTCAAGGATTCCTTAACATCTCTCTATCCACCATCTACTACAACATTACATGCGGCTTATGTGGAGTTTTCAACAGCAACGCCACAGATGACCTGCGCCTACCCAACGGTCGTCTTGCAGAAAATACAGAACAGTTTACAGATGGATGGAGATCAATTGCAGACGACCTTACCTGCAATGGGGACTGCGATGATCTATACCGCATGTGCACAGACCTGCGTCTTTACCAGAGTCCTTGGATGTGTGGAAACATTAATGACCCAGGGAATAGCTCCTTTCTGGCATGCCACACAGTGGTGAATCCATCCCCCTTCTTTAGGAACTGCTTGTACAACATGTGCATAAGGGAAGGAAATCGGTCAGCCCTGTGCTCCTCTCTACAGGCTTATGCTACAGCCTGTCAGGATGCCCAAGTTGGCCTAGCTTCCTGGAGGATTGCAACCAACTGTCGTGAGTAGATATTGCTTTTCATAAAAGGGGTAATTCATTGAGGGGCATTTACAATTCCTTATAGCACCAGTGTCTAACATTGAATCCCATCTGGTGGGGCACTAAATGAGTAACCATTCACAGAGATTGATGCTCTGTTGCCTCACATTAAGTATGTGTGTCGTAACTACTACAAAAACGATGGAGTGTCATTAATGCATTAATGTGAACTTCGACCATAGACCTTCCCTGTCAAGTGATGATAATTTCAAAATAATTCTGTCCTTGTGTTTTATATTTCTTTGTGTGACATTTCTTGTAGGCATGCTGCAAGGCAAGCTGCCTTGAAGTAAGAAGGTTCTGGGTTCTTTTCTATCTCTGCATGGAGTTTGCATGTTCTCCCTGCGCATGCTTGGGTTCTCTCCGGGTACTACGGCTTCCTCCCTCAGTCCAAAAAAATCACTGTTAGGTTAATTGGCTTCTCTAATTGAGTGTGTGTGTGAATGGTTGTTTGCACTGTTTGTCTTTGTGTTGCCCTGCGACTGAATGGTGACCTGTCCAAGTTGTACCCTGCCTCTCGCCCATAGAAAGCTGGAGTGTGACAGCCGGGTCACACAGGTTGACGGAAAATGGATGGATGGAGATTGCTTGCAGCACTTGTGATTAAATCACAGGAAACTGTTATCACTTTGGTATATTCTTTCTGACTAGAAGAGAAGACATCATCCCACATTACTCTTGACAATTCAGCTAAAATAAATGATGAAACGCATAGAAAATATCTCGGAAAATATGACTGATGACGAAGATATGACGAAGTGTGTGTTCGTCTGCTGGTATGACCACTGTGAAGAATGACCCCTAATTTGAATACCATCCTTTTTCATCCAGCTGCGAACTGCATAGGAAGCAATTATAGTCACTAAGGGCATTTATATTGTCTCTTCATAGGGGGGCATTGCGGCACAGGGTGGTAGTGAGCCAATGGCACTACAGCAAAATTCAACTTGATTCTATTTTTTCCTGATGCAGCAGCAAGACCTCAGTAAATATTCAAAATTTAACTTGCTCCAACTGGAATAGAACAATGACAGCCTCTTGGCACTCAATATATACTCACCCATTGTAGTATGTTATTACTAAAATAATCTGGATGCCCAAAAGTTAAAGTGAAGAAGTTTTACCTAATTTAATGGGAGAAGTCATGGTCTGACATCTGCATTGCTCACAGGTTTTTAACAGCCATTATGTGCATGATCCTTGGGGCTCCTATGCACCGCAGCTTAGTAGACATAATTTAAATAAAATGGGTGGAGAAGTCTGCAGTGTCATGGGGCAAAGCATAACTGGACGAAGAGTAAATTGGGGGTAACAGCAACTGATAACTATTGCAACGTAGCTTATGTAGGCTAACAAACAAACTTGCCATCTCTGCGAGGAGGACAGAGCATTTGCTGGAAGACCCTCCCAGAAGCTAGTCAGAGGGAAAATACCTGTATTTTCCTTCTGACTAGCTTCTTACACTGTTTGCTACCTTTTATTTTATTATAGCATTGTTGATGTTGAAAATGGCCCTGCTTCTAAGACTGTTGTAGCTAGAGCTGGATAAAAGTTAACATGTACTCAATGAAAAAAAACTAGACTTCTGATTTTCTTACAAGACTTTTCCATACTAAAATATTGTTTAAATATTGGTCACGTTGTACACTTTTTAGTTTGAGTCCCACTATAGCTTCCATATTTGTAGTTTTACATTTTTGGACATAAGGAGCACCAAAGCACAATTATAAAAGCATGTCGAAATGCTGACAAAGCTGCCGCAACAAGCAAGAATGTCTTTATTACTAGTTTCCAAAAAAGACCTATTATTTTCGAGAATAAAAAAACAACAAGTTTAAGTCCTATTTGAACTGATGCTTTGGTTTAATGCAGCTTGGGTGTTTTACTCACCCAATTTTCATGTATATATTAAGAAACTAGAAGGAGTTAGCTTTCAAATAACGTATCACAGATGTAATTTGGGCTTACAGTTCCCCAGTTATTTGCATTTCCATTTGGGTCTGCAAAATAGGCGAATTTCCCAGAAATTAGGTGGATATTAAGAGGCTAGAGCTTACAATAATGCTATTAAGTTTTTTTCCCAGAGTTTCCCTCATTTAATAAACTTTAGGGATAACTGTTTTGCTAAACATAAACAGTATTATGAGATAGCAAATAGTACAGTAGAATAGGCTTCACATGTGATTCTATTTTTAAATGTTATTTAAATAAAGTTTTTCATGGAGTAATTTTTCAAAACAGAATAGTCTTTAGCATTTTAAAAAACAATCTGCAAGGTGAAGGTTGCAGGAGATGTATAATATGTTCACAATTTCAACATGTGCCCACCAACAATCTTTGGAAAAGGCTCTAAGAGTGCGTACTAAAACAGTTTACTGGATTTTAAAATGCAATGTCAACTTAAGTGCCTTGACATGATGTGTTTTGAATTGGAGCTATATAAATAAACTGAATTTAATTGAACCAGTAGAAATGGGTGTAATAAGGTTTCTCTTAAAACTGTTTTGGCGTGAGGAGAAAAATGAGAAAGATCCTCCCAAACTTATTTTTTAAGATAATTTTCCTGATTTCTGTTCTGCCTTAATAACAACAAAGGTGAGAAGGACCATACGCAAACAGCAGGATAAGGAGGAATGAGCAGACCATTTAAGGCAGTACAGAAATCATGTCAATAATATTGAAAACAAAAGTTTCTCAGTTGGAAATTTGTTGGCCATCTTAAATGACACTTGTAAAACATGGCAGAGTCAAAATTCCCAACAGGATTGGAAAAACTTTACTGAAGACTTGAGTCTAATACATAACATGAGTCTAATAAGAAGAATTTCAGTCTTCTCTGAATTAGTAGTTGTACTTTTTTTTACCACACCACTAGTGCTGTATTGGTTTATTAGCAGTCATAACAGCTTCAATGAGGCTGAAATAAACTAAAGTAACCTAGAGCTAAACATAATTGACATTAAGATATTACGTAAATTTAGGTATAGTTGAAAGAAACAGTTGAGAGGGATGAACCACCCTGTGGTACTGAAACTTTCAGATTTCGACATCAATTACGTTCTTAACTTACTGTAGACATTTCTATTCAAGCTGTTCGATTAAATTCTATTCTTAAAAAAAACTGTAAAGTCTTGCTTGTTATGTTGACTAAATTGTCAGCATAGCTAGTACAGTAATAAAAACCTGTCATCAAGAGCACGACATGCAGATGTTAGACATATGCTCTCTTCTACAGCTGATTATATACTAATATACTGTAAATGTTTCTACTTCTCTCCTGCCTCTCCATCAGCTCTTCCTTGTCCAGAGAACAGCCATTTTGAAGAGTGCACCCCTGCCTGCCCTTTAACCTGCACCAACCTGGATGAACTGGAGGAGCCGTGCCCTCTGCCATGTGAGGAAGGCTGCCAATGTGAGGAGGGTTTTGTGCTGCGGGACGGCTTGTGTGTTGCACGTAGTGATTGTGGCTGCACGTACCATGGTCACCAGGTGGCCACAAACCAGACCTTTTGGACGGATTGGGAATGCCAGGAGCGCTGTTTCTGCAATGGCTCTGACAACAGTGTTTACTGTCAGCTCTCCCCCTGTCATCCTGAGGAGTTCTGCCAGGAGAACGATGGCCTATACTTCTGCCAGCCACGCACCGAGGCCTTGTGTGTGGTTGCTGGTTATGGCCATTTTCTGCCTTGTAGTGGTGTCCCGTTTGAACTTCAGAGCTCCTGTACTCTGAAGATGGCCACCACTGTTTGTGGACACAGAGAGGTGGTGGGGACAAGTGGAGCTTTCCCTCGGTTCAAACTAGCCGTTCGTAATGAGGAACGAGATACTGGACAGGCCATCTGGGTGAGGGGCTTTGTGCTGGAGGTCTATGAATATGAAATAGAAGTTTCACGAAGCTACAAAAACACAGTCACTGTAAGTATATAATCACTATTTAGCACTACACAACCTTTAGTTGTTTATCATATGGTTCCACCACAGATTGTGTTGCTGTCCTCTGTGGTAATCACAGTCTATATTTCTTCTTACTTGAGGTTTTGCTGTTTTTTCCTTTTACTCTGCTGCCTTGTCATTCCGTCCTTGTTAATTCTTAAAAATCCCTAGTGTCTGAGAAAAGATAGCATCAATTCACCATAGTAGTTGACATTGTGCACCTTGTTGGCCTTTGAATATGCATTTGAAGCCTTTAAAGTCTGCCATTATGTCCAGTTGGGGTTATGAATGCATTTTTTTGGTAAAAGTAGACTGTAAAATGCCTAAAGAAAACTTGGATTTTACTACCACTGATAGTAAAGTACATGCCTGTACAGCCAGGCAGAGATTGGGCAGGTTTTATCTTTTAAGGGAGGCATGGAAGGAGGAAATCTTTAGCCTCGTGAGACCATCCTGATCTTGCGAGCTGTCAAGATTTCACTCGCTAATCAGTCTGGAGACTCTCCGTTAAAGAAAATTTGTAGCAGTTCACCAAAGGAACGTCCAATCAGTGTTGGCTTTGAGGCGGGTTGAGGTGTGACGCAACAAGAAGCGCGACAGTTCAGTCTAAAGAACATGGTGGCTTTAGCCGATGAAACTAGCATTAGCGAGGCTATCGAGCAAGTTTTATCGGAATTACAGAGTATTTCTTCACTGAAAGAAGAGCAAAACACTGCTCTGGAGGCTTTTCTCAGAGGAAAAGATGTTTTTGCTCTTCTCCCGACTGGTTTCGGCAAGAGTAGCCTGGCTTGTGGTTTTGTTTTCGTCGTCGCTCTGTTAGTACGTCATATGCTTCGTTGATCTGTTGATCCGTCTATCACCAGCATAGGCCAATCAGCTAACCAGTATTTTCGCCCTTTCCCAAAATTACTTCAACTGAAGGTTTCCAGATGGATATGGAGCAAATCCATCTGGCGGAGTCAGGTTAGGAAATCTTTGCTCTATGAGACAAATTTAAAGGTCATGTGATGTTTATTAGAGAGAGGGAAGACAAATACCAGTAATCCTGGAATGAGATTCTTAGGGCAGACAGTCTAAATCTAAACACCAGAGAAAAGGACAGGCATAGCATAAACCAAGTATAACTACATTGAAAAAGGAGTGACTGGGGATTTTTTTGTGTAGCAGGATTGGACCACCTCACTATTCTAGATTCTGCTATGAATTCCCCGATGGGGTTTGAGGAAAATGTAAAATCAATTAACCTGAAGCAGAACTGAAACATAACAATGACCCAAAATGTAGTACTAAATTTGACAAGGAGAACCTAGAAATTTAATTTTCTGGGCCTATAAATAGAGATGATGAGGGGTAACTCTAAATGTACTGAACGTGTAAGGGACCTCTCAAATGTCTCACAGCTGAAAGTGAGGAGCGGAACCAGTGTTCCTGACGTTAGTGACAATAGATGGTTAAAAGAAAGTTCCCCCTGAAGGTTTTAATCATGTTTCCTAACTGAAGAGGCCCTCTGGATAAGTAATGACACATCTTCAAGAGAACAAATACAGTTGCTTTCTGCTTAAGCAAAAAGGAAACATTCACAATCTGAACATCCAGCGGTTTCAAAATTGTAAATTACTTCTCAAACTCCTTGACTTAAATCTGTAAAAAGCTTAAAAGCCAGGCCTGTGCCTGGAAGCCAACCAGTCGACTAATTCTGCTCTTGAATGTACAGTAAGAACAATGCCATAAGCCTGATGATGGCTTCAGAAAGGTCCTGTGATAAACAGTGGCGGTTCTAGACCTAGTGTACCACGGGGCAATGAGGGGGCCAGCATGTTTTCATGGGGGCAAAGAAAAGCATGAAATAAAAAACAGTGCAAGTGATTCAAATATAATGAGAGAGTTGCATGAAGTGAAATTTCCTTTTCAATTAGGTTTAATTAATATTCTATGTGTTATTAGGTCAATATACATTCAGAATTTAGGAATTGTATGTATTTTTGACTTAATTTAAGCTAAGATTACCATTTTCTAAAATAAATCTTATTTAGAACTCAAGCAAACCTGATAAATTCAGCTGTTTTTATTTTGTATGTGTTTTGAGAAAAACATTTACTAGATGAAAACTGGGATCCTGTCTCAATACCACTGAAGCTAGCACCTTATTGTTTTTAAATAATTAGTCAAACAGAATTTGTAAAATAAAATAAAAAAATTTAAAAAACCTGAAATAAATCCAAAAGACCTATTAGTAACCATGTCTTTTCCAGCACATATCATCATTAGAATTTGTTTGAGTATTATGTCTTCACTACAGCGGCCATAAAAGGGGCCATGACATGATATACAGGGGCATCAGCCCCTGTTGACCCCTGTCTAGATCCGCCCATGGTGATAAATGTGAAACTTTTACATAAAAAAAACAACTTAATAAATAATGTATTCATATTAGGGCTGAAATAATCGGATTAATTGTAATTAATCGATTATTTAATTTGGTAATTTATCAATCATTAGATGGGGTGTAGAGAATCTAAAACATGCTTTTAGCTGACAGAGCGACCCACCTTAAGCAGAAATTATACCAAAATTAAATAAATTAAATATATAAACATTTTGCCTTTATGATTTAAAAAAAACAAACTTTTTCGTCTATCAATATGCTCTATCCAGAAGTCGTCACGTGAAAAAGTTTTAGTTTCACCTGGTTTAAATTCATAAAAAGTCTTGTTTAAGGAAACTTTGGCTATCTGATTATTAATCGATTAATCAAAAAAATAATAGACAGATTATTCGATTTGCAAAATGATCATTAATTGCAGCCCTGATGCCTAAATCATGAATATAATTGATCATATACGCTTTAAAAAAAGTCCACAATAAATTCTAATTTGTAGACCCTTCTATTGTTTAAAATGTGTTGTCTTCTCCATTCAACATCTATGGTCTATTGTTGGTGCAAATGCATTAATAAAAACATTAATGACATTCATACAAAGTGCACGTAAACTTTTAACAGATAGTGGATTTACTACAGATTTAGAGTATCTGACATTTAATTCCAGGAAATACCTGAAGATGGAGCAAATTTCCACTGCATGCCAAGTTTTTCAGCTAGAAACTTCTTCAAATATAAATAAATTCAACACACACAAAAAAGATAGAATGTCTTTGTAACTGGCTACTGGTAAAACCCATTTTCTCCAAATTTTATATGAACTTTTTCTTCTTTCTAATTTCTTAAGATGTTTTGAGTTAATCTGATAACACCTGCCGTGACCATTAACCTGTGTTAACACCGTTTTCTTTGGCCTTTGAAGGTCACTGTTGTTGCATTTGAGGTGATGTGTTATTTCTAATCAAGCTGATAGAATAACCAGGCAGTGGGGGCAAATTCCTCTTTGATTGGCTTAAGGAGGATCTCATTTCAATGGGCTTCTTTTATCAGGCTGGATTTGGCTCAGACAAAACTCTGACCCTGAGCGACACTTGGACCAGGTTCACAAACCCACCAAAAGATCTGAGGATGCACTTCCACACATTAACCTGTTGTTCACGCTTGCTCCCACTAGTCTTTGTTAAATTTATCTCCATGTCACTTTCTCTTGCTTATTAAAGTTTCTCGTACAGCTGTATAAGTCAGTCTTCACAGCATCCATTCATCACCTGGGTTTCCCCACATGCTTTCAAAAACATGCAAGTCAGCAGGATTAGAAAGTCTAACTTGATGCTAGAAATCACTCAAGCAGGAATGTTTAATATAACACTCAGCTTTATTGTCGTCACTCAGGTCAACAAGGAGCGTCTGTACCTTCCCCTCAAGCTGGGCCCAGGAAAGGTCAACATGTCCTCCTTGGGGATGTTGCTTATTCTTGAGACAGACTTTGGACTAAAGGTGTCGTATGACTGGAATACTCTCTTCCTTTTGACTCTACCCAGAGATCTTTACAACACCTCCTGTGGCCTCTGCCATGGCATGCCCTTATCCCCTCCCACCTTAACCACCACGGACTGGGGCATGACCTGGGCAGAGAGGGACACCTTCTGCCAGGTTGGCTGTGGTGACTCCTGTCCTCGCTGTGGCCTTGGAGAAAAGACCATGTCAAACACCGCCCCTCTCATGGTGGCGGACTCCAGCATGAACAATGACAACGAAGATGAGCCAAACGGGCTCGCCACAGGCATACGTTTCCACGTTGGAGACGGACTGTACGTCTTTGTGGAGCCCGAGGCCGTAAGGCTGTGTGGACTGATTGTGGATCGAGGAGGTGTGTTTGCTCGCTGTCACAGCAAGGTGGCGCCTGCTTTCTTTTATCAGAGCTGCCTCCTGGACACATGTTTGGATCAAGGAGCTCAGGATACAATCTGTAACTGGCTACAGATCTACGCCAGCACCTGTCAGACCCAGGGAGTTCATTTAACTGGTTGGAGGAGTGAAACACCATGTGGTGAGTCTCCCAATCTGCTTTTTAACCTATACTATAATGTACAGTGATGTAAAACCCATCCATCCATCATCTTTTACTTATCTGTTTTTTTTAGTTCAATTCATTTATATACAGCTGCTGTCCACGATGCAGCTGTATATATTGGCAGAATTGGTTTAATTAATTTAAATTAGAAGAGGACAAACAACCTGTTTTAAGTCATGCCCTAAAGTCACAAAAAGATTTAAGAGCTGAAACCACTGTGTCGTTTGGAACCATTCAGGTTAGCTTGGATTATTATTTGGTGGAATTATATAAGATAAGCATTGACACACTCTCAGATGAAACCAACATGATTGACTGTAGTTTTATTTTTTATTTTTTAGTTTTTTTTCCTCTGCCCTCCTGGATGATTAGTCAAACATATTTTAATAATAACAATTGAACTATATTGATCTCACATTGGAGAAATGCATCTCTGCATTTAACCCATCCACTTGGGGAGCAGTGTGGGGTTAATCCTTTATAGGGCACTAAGTGAAATACTATGAAAATCAAAATTTCAAGCCAATAATCTAACCTTGTTACCTTTGGAACATTAAAAAAATATGGATATTTTGATGTCAAAAATGAATGTCAATGTAATAACAAGAAACATCAACTTGCCCGAATATATTAAGAAAAATAACAAAAGTGCTTCTAATAGAAATTCATGAAAAACACTGAGACTAAAAAACACCAACATTTTTCTTAGTACAGCATCAGCTTAGAGACTTTAATGCTGATACCTGCACTTACATTTTTTAGATTATAAACCTTAAAATAATTGTTTATTTAGGCTTATTAATTTTTTTACTTTACTTTAGAACTTTTCTCTAAGGTTTTTTCCCTTTTTTCTTGAATTTTCCTTTTTTTCTTTCAACTTAATTAACAGTAGGCAATATATGATTCAAGGGCTTATCTAATTGGTCAAATGCCAAAATAAGATGCACAGCAATGTATCAGAATCTTTGCTGAATGGCTGGATATAGATCTTGTGCTTGTAGACCTAACTGAAAGACAGGGGGAACTCCATTTTTAAGGGATATGCAAGTGATCAAAAATGGTAATTTACACTATAAAGGGTTAAGGGTCTTGCTCAGGGACCCAGAGTGCAGGCTGTGGGGATCGAACCATGTACTTGCAACCTTTTCAGAGCACAAGCGCACCACTCTGACCATTAGGCCAACACTTCCCCTATAAATGTTGCATTGGCCTATCCTCTGAAGATTCTCCACTGTTCCATGTTTTCACAATATGAGGTTAATAGTTCTTAATGTGGTTCTCTGTAGCTCATCAGCCTTATAAAAGACTTTGTAACCTTTCTAGGCTGATAATTTATTTTATGTGTTGGTTTTTGGGATGTTTTAGCCTATGTCAAGTTGAAAGAAAGGTTCTTTATGAGAATCTCTTAATTCTATGCGTCAGGTAATTAAACCCACATGCTGCTTATCAAATCATATTTCAGGAGTCCGAAAAAGCAGTTAATCACATTTAATTCATAAGTTGACGAGAGATGGATATTTCTAACACAGGGCCAAGAGAGTAACGATTTTATGTCTTTGAATAATCCAAAAATCATAGTTTTTGTCTGACTTTTCTAAGAACTGAAGAATAATCTTGGGACAATAACGAAAAACATCTGTAAGGGTATAAATATAATATTTTACAGCACTCTTCTACATGGACATAATTTTGGGCAGGAGGACAGGGGGGACATGTCCCCTGCACTTTTTCAAACATGCTTTTTGGTTCCCTGCACGTTATACTTTCCAAAAACAATGTTAAGCTACAGTACGCAGACATTGGTCGAACACGAGGCCCAGGCAGAAAACCGCTAATTCAAGCTGAAGCCTGCTTCCCTGAGTTTAGAACACCCACAAGCTCCTGATTGGCCCACTGTCTTTTCTTGTGTTATTGGCCGTCAAACACGCTAAAATTTGTTATAAAAATACTTGCATCCTCCCACTTCTGAAATCAAAATTTTGTGCTTTTATGGCATGCAATTGGTTGTTGACATTAAAGGGATAGTTCGGGATTTTTGACATGAATCTGTATGGCATCCCCATAACCAGTGTCATGCAATCACACTGACTTACCCCTGGCAGCGTCCTGTGAGCAGAGTTCTCGTCCAGCTTTGGTCAAGCCGAAAGTAGTCCGGCAGGTTTGCTAGACCCAGCGAAATAAAACGTTTCTCTTCCCAAAACATTATGTGTTCAAAAGAGTGATATTTTTGCATCCCAAAAACATTGTAGTGGAAAAAGTCACACGTCGTTATCACTTGGTCCTATTTTCTCTCTGTTCGTATCAGTGCGCGCCGTCATTCAGACAGCTAGGGCCTACTAACCTGACAACAGCCAGATGCATGTCTCCCTCCGCCTAGCTCCTAGCTGTTCAGTAGGGTGAATTTATCTCGGCTAACCTTTCTGCTCCCAGTCCACAGCTGTCCTCCAAACAGCCATTACTCCAGCTGCATGATGGTGTGCCCACCTCAGTGCGCCCCGGCCCGCGGTCAGAGGGACTGTAACCATGACTGTGTGGAGGGCTGCCAGTGCGACCTGGGCTATGTGCTCAATGGCAAGAGCTGCATCCTGTCCCAAAACTGTGGCTGCTACACAGATGGAAAATACTATGAGGTCAGTGGGCATTACCAAACTGTAGCAAAGCTTTAAACTTCTTTATTCAGATTTCCCTTCCAAGAAGCCAAGCTTCTTTTAATATTGTTCTCTCCTGCTATATCACTGCAATCTATATCTCTCTGTGTGTTTACTTATTTTGTTTCTTGATTACAGCAACTTTATTTAGTAAAACTTTGTACAGAGTTTTGAATTGTGGACTTCACTGGCCTTTGGATGCTTTTCCTCTAACATTGGGTCCAAGCTTTGTACCTTAGGAGGACACCATGTAATTCAGCTTCTTTTTAAACAAATGCAAACTGACAAAGAGGAGGAAACCTTTGATAAAAACAATCTCAAGCTGATTAGATATATTTGTGTTGATATAGAATGAAAAGTCAAGTGACTCAGAACTAGAACATCAGTTCAGTTGATCACTCACCCCCCCACATAGCAGCAATAACCACCTTAACAACTATATATGACATCCTATAAAAACAAATCGACACATTTAATATGACATAGAGGAAGATATCCTTCCACTGCATAGGGAAATGAGGGACATATCAATTTGTGAGCTACACTATTTGTGCTGTCCTCAAGGACGTGTTATCATCATCGCTGTTTATGCTTCTCAAACTAACGTCAGAACTTAATAAGTAGAGGCTGATCATCAAATTTGCAGATACATGTAACACTGTCATTGTGAGCCTCTTGCAGGAGGTGAAGCCATGATCTGGGTAGTAAGCTAACTTTAAGACTGGAAGTGATGCAATTTGTAAGAAAGCCGACAAGAAGCTATTTTAAATAATAGTTTAATGATTTTACTTCTAATGTCCCTTCTTTTAATTAATTTATTTTTTTCCTTTCATTTAATCTGATTTAAAGTGTGTCGGTTGGGTAACCTACCTTGAGTCCTGATATATTTTTGTAAATGTTTCTGTTTTTGGGTTCTTTTGCTAATGAAACACAAAATCAATATCTAAACCATTTCCCCTTCAGCCCAAGCAACTTTTCTGGAACAGTGACTGCACCAAACGCTGCCAGTGCATCGGAAGAAACCTGATCCAGTGCGACCCCAGGCGCTGTAAGGCAGAGGAAGAGTGCACTTTGCGGTTTGGGGTCCGAGGCTGCTTCGCCCGCCGATCTCAGCACTGTGTGGCATCGGGTGGGGGAGTCTTTAGGACATTTGACGGGGCGTCACTGCGTCTTCCAGCCTCTTGCTCCTTTGTCCTTTCCACAAACTGCCACAAGCTGCCCGACCTTTCCTTCCAGCTCATTGCTAACTTTGATAAATGGAGCACGCCCAACCTCACCACCATTTCTCATGTCTACCTTTACATAAACGAGGAGAACATTCTCATCTCTGGCAGCACTGTCAAGGTAAAGTGAAGTTTGAACTGTGTTCTCATAAAGTTTAACCCTTGTTTAAGGCAGGAGGCCCTCTGAATGAAGAAGAAAACACATAAAACAGACCCATTATACAGATACAGAAGTTTTAATAGGATAGACATCCATTATTTGTTCTAGGTTTTGTCCCTCTCTTCTTGTTCCTTTTCTTCTTGTTTTCCTCTCTATGTTTTGTACTCAGCTGATTTTCTTGCTGTCTCAAAGGGAATCGAAGATTTTTTCCAAGCACTAAGTGTCATGATGGGTTCACTGAAGGCGACCCAGTTATGCAGAACACCACTGACGGACACAAGGATGAAGAGTTCAACAGTTTATTAAAGCACAAACACACAGAATGAACTGATTCTGGTTCGGGGCCTGGATACTGGTTCACCAGAGTCTGCGTGAGAGACAGCACAGTTAGCGGTTTGCTGGCAGGGTTTAACTTCCAGAAGTTCACTGATTGTACCTTGAGGGTTCTTGAGGTTAACTTTGGGAGAGTCACTGTTGGTTCTGGAGAAGGGTTCATCAGCAGAGTCCGTTTGCTGCTTCAGCGTCTCACGTCTTGTTAGAACAGACCTTGGCTTGGAAGTCCCAGCTCAGTCCTGAGCTGCTTGAGGTTTCTCAGAGGGATCTTCAGGGTTTGGCTCAGAGGGTCGGCTCGGCAGGTTAGCTCTTCCAGAGCTTTCTCAGAGGAGGCACAGGTTTCCTGGAAGACAGAGATAGTAGTTAGAATCCAGACTGGATTCAAAGTCACGGAGATACTCAGACGATCTAGGCTTTAGCGCTGACCAACTGGAACAACACTGCGGCGTTGAGGCAAGGTCTGAAAACAGCTTAAGTAGTGGATCCTCTGATGATCTTGACGAGCTGCAGCTGTGCAGGGGGCTCCCTCAGAGGATCCACGGCGGACTCTGCTGGAGAAAGATGGGATTTCTCCAGCTCCCAACAGTACCCCCCCCCTCAACGACCGCCCCTTGGCGGTCCGGAAGAGGTAGATGGGCGGGAACGCTCGTACTCCTCGATGAGTGCAGGATCGAGGATTTACAAGCCTGGGACCCACTGGCGATCCTCCGGTCCGTAGCCCTCCCAGTCGACGAGGTACTGCCATCCGCGACCTCGTCGACGGGAGTCCACGATGCGGCACACTGTGAAGGCCGGATGGCCATCGACCTCCAGGGCGGGTGGTGGGGAGTCGGACGGTGGGCACAAAGGGCTCGAAGAAACAGGCTTGATCTGGGACACGTGGAATGTAGGGTGGATTCGGAGGGACTGAGGTAGTTGGAGACAAACAGCTGAGGGGTTGATGACTCGAGTGATCCTATAGGGTCCGATGAATCTTGGGGAGAGTTTTCGAGACAACCCCTTGAGGGGGATGTCTCGACTGGTTGAGTGTGGCGATGGTCTCCCTCCAAATCCTCCGGCAACGGCGGATGTGTTGATTGACGGACAGCACCGATATCTCTCTCTCATCTGTGAGAAAAAGAGGTGGTTGATACCCGAGACTGACCTGGAATGGGGATTGTCCAGTGGATGCAGATCTGAGGGAGTTATGGGCATATTCAATCCATGGGAGAAATTGGCTCCAATCCACGGGGTTGTTCGATGTGAGGCAGCGAAGGGTGGATTCCCACTGTTGATTCATGCGCTCGGTCTGACCATTCGATTGGGGGTGGTAACCTGAGGTGAGAGAGGGTTTGCAGCCGAGCGCAGAGCAGAATGCCTTCCATACCTGGGAGATGAATTGAGGACCTCTGTCCGAGAGGATCTCTTGGGGGATGCCGTGAAGCCGGAAAACATGTTTAATGAGGAGCTGAGCTGTCTGGAAGGCCGTGGGAAGCTTTCTGAGGGGAACAAGGTTGCAGGACTTCGAGAAGCGGTCAACAATGGTGAGTATAGTGGACATACCTCGAGAGACAGGGAGACTGGTGACAAAATCAATGGCGATATGGGACCAGGGACGCGAGGGAACAGGAAGTGGTTGAAGCAGGCCAGAAGGAGGTTGGTATGAGGCTTTGTTACGGGCACATGTGGGGCAAGCCAACACATACTCCTTTACGTCCTTGTGGAGAGAGGGCCACCAGAAGCGTCTGGAGATGAGAGCTACTGTTCTACTGACTCCAGGATGAGCAGAGAATTTGGCGGCATGCATCCACTGGATAAGACGGGACCTGACAGAAGAGGGAACATATGTACGGTTAGATGGACCGTTACCTGGATCGGGTTCAGTGGCCAGGGCTGAGTTGATGAGGTCAGTTATCTCCCATTTGACCACTCCCACAGTACATGAAGCTGGAAGGACAGGTTCAGGTGTCTCGGGATGATCGACGGAGTAGAGACGAGAGAGAGAATCGGCCTTCACGTTCTTGGATCCGGGTCTGTAGGAGATAATTAGGTTGAACCGAGAAAAGAAGATTGACCACCTGGTTTGTCGAGGATTAGCCTGTTTGGTGGACTGGATGTAAGCCAGGTTCTTGTGGTCTGTCCATACAAGAACCGGGTGCTCAGCTCCCTCCAGCCAGTGCCTCCATTCTTCCAACGCCAGTTTGATAGCCAGGAGCTCTCGGTCACCCACATCATAATTTTGTTCAGCGGAAGAAAGTCTACGGGAGAAGAAAGCACAAGGGTGTATCTTTTGGTCTGAATCGAGCCTCTGGGACAGGACAGCTCCAACACCAGAGTCTGAAGCGTCCACCTCTAGGATAAACTGTTTAGCAGGATCAGGTTGCATGAGGACAGGAGCTCTGGAAAACAAGGATTTTAGTTTCTCAAATGCTGCTTGAGCCTCGGGAGTCCACTGAAAAGTGCGTTTAACAGAAGTCAGGGAGGTTAATGGAAGGGCGGTCTGGCTGTAGTTTCTAATAAACCGACGATAGAAGGTAGCGAACCCTAGAAACCTCTGTAATTGTTTGCGGTTCTCTGGAACTGGCCAGTCTAAGACTGCTTTGATCTTGTCCTCTGAAGGTTTTACCTGGCCGCCCTCGAGCACAAACCCCAAAAAGGTGACTGAAGATTGATGAAATTCGCACTTCTCGGCTTTCACGAACAGCTTATTCTCCAGTAGTCTCTGTAAGACAAGACGGACATGTTTCTTGTGTTCATCGAGGTCCTTGGAGTAAATGAGAATGTCATCAATGTACACGAAAACAAACACGTTGAGAAAGTCTCTGAGAACATCATTTACTAGGGCCCGGAAGCAGGCTGGGGCGTTAGTTAGACCAAAGGGCATTACAAGGTATTCGAATTGGCCCAAGGGTGTTTTGAAGGCAGTTTTCCATTCATCGCCCTCACGGATCCTAAGGAGATGATAAGCGTTTCTTAAATCCAACTTAGAAAACACTGTTGCTCCCTGTACATGTTCAAAAGCAGAGGCGAGAAGAGGCAGTGGGTATTTGTTTTTAATTGTAATCTGGTTCAAACCTCGATAGTCAATACAAGGTCTCAGGGAACCATCCTTCTTACCCACGAAGAAGAACCCGGCGCCCAATGGAGAGGATGATGGGCGAATTATTCCAGCAGCTAATGATTCATTGATGTATTTTTCCATCGTTTCTCTTTCGGGCTTGGAAATGTTATACAATCTGCTGCTAGGAAAAGGAGCACCAGGTAAAAGTTCAATGGCGCAATCGTATGGTCTGTGTGGAGGTAGGGACGTCGCACTGACCTTACTGAAGACAGGGGCTAAGTCTTGGTACTCAGGGGGAACTGAAGAAAGGTCAGGAGAGTCCATCTCCCCCCCACCTCTAGGAGACCCCACCACGGGGGCAGCAGAAGGCATGTTTCGTGGCATGAAGTGGACCATGATTCCAGATGACGTTCAGTCCAGTTTATGTGAGGATTATGCTTCTCCAACCATTCGAACCCGAGCACCAGCGCGGAACATGCAGAGGGAAAAACAAAAAATGTTATTGTCTCTCGGTGGTTACCTGACAGAAGTAGCTCGAGGGGCTGAGTTTGGTGGGTAACTCGATGGAGTCTTTTTCCATCTATGGCGGATACACTGAGAGGCTGAGAAAGGGGAATGGTTTTAATCTGGAGTTGCTGGACGAGGTTAGAGTCGATTAGGTTACGTTCACAGCCTGAGTCGATGAAAGCAGAAAAAGAGAGGCTTTGATTAGCACAGAAAAGCGTGGCAGGCAGTAACAGTCGAGGAGATTTCTTAGTGTTTATTTGGCCCGCCAGACTCCTCAGATCCTCTGGCGGGCCCCGGCTTTTGATTTTGCCGGGCAGGAAGAGATGAAGTGTCCACTCTCACCACAGTAGATACATAGTTTGCTTAGAAAACGCCTTTGTCTCTCCTCTGGAGTGAGCCTGGTGTGTCCCACCTGCATGGGTTCGACATCCCTTTCGCCCGAATGTGAGGCCTGAACAGGCAACAGTAGAGACTGGGGCTTAGACCTCTGAATGGGCAACTGCTCTATAGAGGGAGAACAAACAGTCACGTTATGAGAGGCAGAAGAAATTGTACCCTGCTTCTTAGAACTGTTTCTGGCTCGAATTCTATTATCTAATCTGATGGAGAGGCGAATTAAATCTTCGAGGGTAGCAGGTTCGTCGAGGGTTGCGAGTTCATCTTTAATGTGCTCGTTTATGCCATGAAAAAGGCTCCTTTCAAGGCGCTTTGGTTCCATCCGGAAGCTGCCGCTTTAACCCGGAAGTTAATAGAAAATTCAGCCACCGAAGAGTTTCCCTGTTTAAGGTTGAAAAGAGCTCTAGAATCAATAGTTTGGTCAGTTTCCTGGTTGAAGACCTGGGTAAATTCAGAAATGAAATCAGAGTAGTAGCAATTTAAACTATCGTCAGCGGCAAATCTTGCCTGAGCCCATTCCAAGGCTCTTCCTGTTAACTGAGAGAGAATGAAAGTTATCTTCTTGTGATCCGTGGAAAAACAGCCAGGGGAGTTCTGAAAAATCAACCGACATTGAAATAAAAATCCTTTGCAATCTTTCATGTTACCAGAAAATCTTTCTGGGAGACTAGGACGGAACTCTGATGACGTCACAGCTGGTGACCTCGGAGGAGGGACTGGACCCGGAAATGGTTGCTGTACTGGCGCAGCATTAGCGCTGTTCACGTAGTTAGCATAGCTTTGAATAGCTTGATTCTGTCTTTCAATGTGGGTGTTTAACTCACGTAGAGCCAGGCCGTGTCCATGGATTTGGGCAGCCTGTTCCTCTAGTCGACGGATGTAGTGATCTGCTGGGCCTTGAGTTTGCCCGCAGTGTTCTGTCATGATGGGTTCACTGAAGGCGACCCAGTTATGCAGAACACCACTGACGGACACAAGGATGAAGAGTTCAACAGTTTATTAAAGCACAAACACACAGAATGAACTGATTCTGGTTCGGGGCCTGGATACTGGTTCACCGGAGTCTGCGTGAGAGACAGCACAGTTAGCGGTTTGCTGGCAGGGTTTAACTTCCAGAAGTTCACTGATTGTACCTTGAGGGTTCTTGAGGTTAACTTTGGGAGAGTCACTGTTGGTTCTGGAGAAGGGTTCATCAGCAGAGTCCGTTTGCTGCTTCAGCGTCTCACGTCTTGTTAGAACAGACCTTGGCTTGGAAGTCCCAGCTCAGTCCTGAGCTGCTTGAGGTTTCTCAGAGGGATCTTCAGGGTTTGGCTCAGAGGGTCGGCTCGGCAGGTTAGCTCTTCCAGAGCTTTCTCAGAGGAGGCACAGGTTTCCTGGAAGACAGAGATAATAGTTAGAATCCAGACTGGATTCAAAGTCATGGAGATACTCAGAGGATCTAGGCTTTAGCGCTGACCAACTGGAACAACACTGCGGCGTTGAGGCAAGGTCTGAAGACAGCTTAAGTAGTGGATCCTCTGATGATCTTGACGAGCTGCAGCTGTGCAGGGGGCTCCCTCAGAGGATCCACGGCGGACTCTGCTGGAGAAAGATGGGATTTCTCCAGCTCCCAACACCAAGCTCACTTAGCTGGTTGCTACTTTCTGTGTTTCCAAAAAGGCCAAAGTAAATAACCCAGTCCTTATTTGTTCTCCATTTTTCATTTGGATGAAATAATAGCTGCATGAATCATGACAGCAGACAATATAGAGGAGAGCAGGAGGCGGGGTTACCAATCTACTTGCTCTGGAGAGCAGAGTTCGCTGCTTTTATATGTTGTCTCCAAAGTCTCAAGTAACAGAAAAAAGTAGCTAGATTTGGCAATAGTTGCTTTTTTGAAATAAAAGTGCTGGAGGGGTCTGAAAAGTCGCTAAATATAGCGACAAAAGCGCTATGTTGGCAACACTGCTCTTCCCACCGTTTGATTTCAAATGCTGTCTGTTTGGATGTTTCTGAACATGAGCAGCAAATGGACTGATCCAATGTGGTGGACACTGAAGGGAGGGGGGGGCTGAGACACATTTAAAGCTACAGTGTGTAATAATTACAGGGATATACAGTCAGAAATGTAATATATTATACATAACTATGTTATTTATCATCATCTACGAGCTCAGCCTCTTAACCTTAATATTTGCGTTGCCTTAGAATTCGTTATTTATAATTACATAGGAGCGGGTCTCGCAGCCATGGAGGCAGACATCTTTGCGCTACGCCAGCGCAGAGCCAACAAACTAGCGATTGCGAGATCGGCAAAACGTCACAACGATGTAGAAAAAATAACGGATATATTTATTATCTAAAGTCTACATGAAATCTATAATCTACACAGACTAATGAAATACTATCTGTAAAATTATCTATGTAAACAAACCTCATCACTTGAGAAGGTAGGTGATGCGGACGTCGTGGGAGACATTTTGTCCCGTAACGCTCGCCGTACTGTTGGGGGGGAGAAGCGGTGGGGGGGAGATGTTCATGTTGCTGCAGTCTGCAGTCTGACCGCTAGATGTCGCTAAAAATTACACACTGTAGCTTTAATATTATAAGTGTTCTGATGACTTTTTAGCGAAAGAATTTTTATCAATATAATTAATATGCACAATTAAGGAATAGTTGTATTAACCATACATGTAAACAGAGTTTTATGGGGCCCCCAGGACATTGGGGCCATAGGCAACTGTCTAGTATTGCCTAATGGTAAATTCCCCCTGCCATAAGAACTCACTATTATTCTGCCTCCTCAATGTTGCAGAATTTCACATTTGTTCAAATTCTTTCTCCTGCTTCACAGATAATAAAGGAGTGTCTAATAATATACAAGATTGAGGAAAAACGAGGCAAAACTTAATAGAATTTTTTTTTGTACATAACTCTCCAAAAGCCTGTTGTCAACTTTCTTAATAAAATATATATATATTCTGCTTTTATACAGCAAGACTCATATTATATATTGGGTTTAAACAGAAGTTATCAAGCCTTTTTGCCCACCAGATTTTTAGGTGCATATGGCATTTATTTGAAAGTGAGCTGAAAGTCATACAGCAAAGGCCTTAACAGGCCAGGAATCAAACCTTTTTTTGGACTTTGGGGGAAGCTGGAGTACCCAGAGAGAACCTAACTCATGCAGAAAGACCCCGGGCTGGGAAGCAAACCTGAAACCTTGTTGCTGCAAACCAGCAATGCTACCCACTACGCCCTCTCTTTCATTTATTCTATGGGAAACTGTAGTTCATAACAAACTGTAGTCAAGTAGATCCAAGACTAATCTCCATTTCTTTCTGTACTGTCTAATTTACCAATTACCTCTACAAGAACACCCTTTTAGAGGTTCTGGCTTCTGTCCATGCCAGTCATTCATCTGGAAGTGGTCTCACAGAGGCAGGTAGTGAGCTTCCGAATGCTTTAAATCCCAGTGAGCTTTGATCCTGCTGGGGCTGGGTGAGCCATTAACCACAACTTTAAACTAAAGTGGCCTGAGGATTATGTGAAATGTGGTGACAACGTTTACCAGAAGCCATCCGAGCACCATCTCATACTGCCATTACCTTTGGCACCATCAGATATCTATGTGTTATTAAATATAAATTGTGGAATATTATGGCAAGTCTTATTCTTATCAGGAACATCAAAAAGCAAAGACCTTCAAGAACATTTTCTGTAGTTGAATGCATTAAAGTCTCTAGAATGGACCAAGAAAGAAATGGTTGAACTTTGGTATTTCTTTAGGGGATGTTCTTCTGACCATTAGCTTCTCCAACCTAAGATTAAAATGTCCTCTCAGGTCAATGGTACGCCAGTGTCAGTCCCATTTCTAACTGGCCTGATGACGCGCCTGTCCACATCGGAGGGCTTCATTGTCATCGACACACCGCAGGACATTCAGGTGCGATACAACCGTTTCAACACTCTCAGCATTACAATGGGCCAGCGACTTCAGAACAAGGTGTGTGGCTTATGTGGAAACTTCAATGGAGACCCCAATGATGACTACATCACCTCCAGGGGCAAACCAGCTGTCAGTGCCCTGGAGCTGGCTCAGAGCTGGAAGACCAACGGCATGCAGAACAGGTAAGTGAGGCTCCTAGATATTCTGACAAAATCTGATACCTTTGAGAGGTTGTCGGAACAACCAGAAAAGCTAACCACTTGCCTTCTCAACACCCCTGGTAGTGCTACAAGGGACTTAAAGTGCCATCAACTATGCTTTGTGTAACAGTTGCGACGAGACCCAGTATGTGGCTTTAGCCCAGTCCTGCGACAACACGGCTGTCCTGGCACTGCAGTCCGAAGACGCCTGCCAGAAGCTTACCGACCTGAAGGGCTTCTTCCAACCATGTCACGGCCTGCTAGATCCGCAGCCTTTTTACCAGTCCTGCTACCTGGATGGCTGCTACAACCACCGCAAGGCTCAGGTCTGTGGATCCCTGGCAGCCTACGCTGAGGCCTGCCGCTCTTTTGGGACCCTCACCACCAAATGGATCACCCAGGAGAACTGCTGTAAGAGCACCGTCAGACAGTCGCTTCTGTCACCTTATATAGCTTTTGTTAATCTTCCCAGTATTTATTTCAACCTAACCTACATACAGATCTCGTTGTACATGGTAGCCAAGCAAATGACATTTCATTGACAATCTTACTATGTGGCTTTGTGTAATAAGTCTAAGTTAAAAACTCAAACTTCTGTGTTGAAAAGGATGCATGGTCATTACGAGAAGCAGCAGAGAAGAAATTCAAGGTCCAAGGAAGAGTAATAGATATTCACAGCTCAGCTTGAAGACTTTTGTCGGTACAACCCACGAAGGAGAAAAAGCAAAACTGTGAAAGGGGAAGCTTTTAGTGAATGAGACAAAATGTGCACTTACCGTATTTTCACGACCATAAGGCGCACCGTACTAAAAGGCGCAGTCTCAGTTATGTGTCCCATTTCTGTATTTAACACACACATAAGGCGCACCGGACTATAGGGCGCGTTTTTTATATACAGGTAGATGTCCTCTACTACCTTTAAATACCTCTACTGTGTATTTAAAAATACAGCGGGGGCAAAACTGAGTATGACTGTGCTTTATTCATGTATTTATTACAAAGTATTAATCAAACCTGGGTGCTGGCCGTGAGACAGACACATCACAGATGACACAGCGCTGTGATCACTCCTAAATTAACTTAAAATCCTGAAACCTGCCGACGGAATATGTCCGCTTTTATTACCGGTATCCTAGTGCCTGCAGTTAAAATTATTTAGATGAAAAACACCTGCCAGCAGCCGCGGTGAACCTGGAGGCTGCCCGGCCTACAGGCTGCTGATGAAGGGATTTCTCCTGTCGGTGCACCGCTGGTATGTGGGGGTCTGAGCGCCTCCGACAGAAAGAGATAATCTGGATGAACTGACTGCAATTATGAAGTTTTCAGGTGGACTTTCTCACTTAAAAAACATATTAAAACTACTTTATTCCCACTGATCACAGCAAATATAGCTGCAAGATTTAGATTATTTAGATAAAAAAACACCTGCCAGCCACCGCGGTGAAGAGGAGGAGACCCGCCCAGAGGCTGCTGTTGAATTAAGTTTTCAGGGAGAAAAATAGGCCTACAGCGGGAGCAAAACTGAGTATGATTGTGCTTTATTAATGTATTCATTACAAAGTATTAATCAAACCCATCAAAGTCATCATCCTCTGTTTCTGAATTAAACAGCTGCGCTAAATCAGACATGCCAATTTCCCCTTCTGCGCTGTCAGAGTCACTTTCCGTGCAGCGCAGCTCCTCAGAAATAATGCCGGCTTTTGCGAAAGCTTGAACAACAGTGCCAGCAGACACGGTAGTCCAAGCATCTACAATCCATCCGCAAACTGTGGCGTAACTTGCCCGGCGCTGCCTTCCACCTATCCTGAAACTGTGGTCTCCGTCTGTCATCCATCACTCCCACGCCGCTCGCAGCCTTACTTTGAACGGCCGCTTCACACCGATGTCGAGCGGTTGAAGTTCCTTTGTCAGACCTCCCGGGATAACGGTGAGCACAGCATCCATTTGATTCACCATGTTTTTCTCATCAGCTGTGAGATGGGCACGCATGGAGTCACAGATTAACAGCGATGGTGATGCGTGGAAAAAAACACCTGTTCTCCTCACATACACCTGCCTCAGCCACGCTTTCATCATCTCCTCATCCATCCAGCCCGTTTCATTTGCGTTAATATCATATGTCATCAGAGCGCTGTGTCTGTCTCGCTGTCAGCTCCCAGATCAGCTTCTCTGATTGGTTGATGCGGCGCGTCCAGCAGCAAAACTTCAATTTTTCCATCTCGAGCAGCAGCAGCGCGTTGGCAGATGCTTAAACGCTCCTGCAGCTCAAAACGCGCTGCGGGACCTTTTGCTGCACCTGTACGCTTGTCAACCATTGACTTTGCATGTAAACTCGCTGCTTCTGCTGCACCTGCTGGGTCCGGTTCACACCGATGTCGAGCGGTTGAACAGCGAGCACAGCGTTAATTTGTTTCCCCATGTTTTTCACATCAGCTGTGAGATGGGAACGCATGGAGTCACATATTAACAGCGATGGTGATGAGTGGAAAAAAAACACCTGGTCTCCTTACATTCAGCCACTCTTTCATCATCTCCTCAATGAGGTGGTCTCAAAAGTCGCAGTTACAACACACATAGGGCGCACCGCACCAAAGGGCGCACCGCACATTTTGAGGGGAAAAAAAGACGTTTAAGTGCGCCTTATAGTCGTGAAAATACGGTAATGTGGTTGGAAATGCCTAAGATCTCCCTGAACATACCATCCTCAAGGGTGGCCACTGCATCATGCTATGGAGATGAATTTCTTTAACAGGAACAGGGTAGCAAGTTAGAGTTGATGCAGCTAAAATCCTGATGGAAAACCTGTTAGAAGCTGCAGAAGACCTAAGACTGGGATGGAGGTTCAACTTCAAATTGAACAACTACCCTATTCCGTAAAAGTAAAAAAAAAATCCACTGGACTTGGTTTTTAAGATTTGAAGACGTTTCGCCACCTCTTCCAGGAAGCTTTCTCAATTGGGGATTTTACGAACGTTGGATTTTACGATCAAGTAAAATGATACGACTGGCATAAAATCAAATACAAACAGCATAAAAATAAAACAACAAGCCGCTCCCATCTAGGCGTAATTGGAGAAAATGACACACGAAGTGCACTCCTGATGTCCAGTCTGCTCTGTAGCTTTGTTTTATTCGCTGTAACTGCATAAAATCCCGCTTCACAAAGATAGGATGTTATAGATAGGATGCGTCTTGAACTTAATTAACCTGTGTCAAGAGGCACAGATGCACCGACTGATGTAATTGGGAGATAATACCGCAAATTTTTATATTTTTTAAAATAAAACATCACTCAGACTCTGATCGTCGATAAATTCTATATATATATATACTTTTTTCTGTGCGGCCCGGTACCAAATGACCCACGTACCGGTCCGCGGCCCGGTGGTTGGGGACCGCTGGTTTAGATGACAAAGTCCTGACCTTGATGTAACTGATTTTATATATATATATATTTGGAGAATTAAAAAACGATTTTCTAGCCATTCTTAATATTCTTCCGCTGTTTGATTAATTGCCATAAAATTGCCAGCTTGACCTGCAGAAGATGCAACTTCTATTGCACCCCACACTGTTCAGGGTTTTATTTGTAAATATGTTGAAAATGTTTGTTTTTTTTCCTCCACTTCTCACATGTCTGTCGGGGTGTCTTACATTAAATCCAAATAAAACATACTTAAGTTTTTTCAGGAAACAAAAAGTAGAAGAACTTTAAGATCTGTTTATATCTAGACAGTTGTGATCTTTCTGCTCATTAGTGTACTATCCTGTTTTTTGAGTGCCACAGCTAACATTGTGTGCGGACCTGTCTTTAGCAGAATGGATTTACGACCCCTGTGCGGGAGAGATCTGCACAAACTTCACATGTGAGCTGGAGAATGGAGGCGATCTGTGTGGCTGTCCTGAGTTACCCACCAACCCTGCAGGTGAAGCTTTCACTGTTGCTTTCTGCAGGTTTGCACTGGAAAAAAAAGTATCACCTTGCTCAAGCAAAAGATTATCACATCTAAAATATTTGACTTCACAGAACCTGAATTTAATCACTTGTTATGACCTGATAATATTGACACAACTTAAAATCTTTGCCCTGTTCCAAATGATTTTCTGAACATTTCAGTTGATGAACTAAACTAATATATTGACATTGGACCAACCTAATATACTTACCTTTAACAAAATTAACAACAATTAATGTTTGTATAGAAACCAGTTAATTTAAATATAACCAAATTAGATTTTTCAAATATGAGAATTGAGACAAGCCAATTAACCTAAAAATCATGTTTTTGGATTGTGGGAGGAAGGCAGAGTACCTGCAGAGAACCCAAGCATGTTCAGGGAGAACTCCACGCAGAAAGATCTTGGGCCGGGATTCATACTCAAAACCTTCTTGCTGCAAATGCAGAAGTGTTAGCCATTGCACCACTGAGCTACTCTGTCATGGCCTGGGACATGGACCTGATCACGTGCTCTGACTGCATACAGAGCGCAGTTCACATTTGACTCAAACAGAAAAAATTACTTGCAGGCCATGAATAAATATATACATTTTAAGAGAAATCATATACTTTGTTTTGGGTCCTTTACACGTGTATTTAGTTCAGTTTGAATCAAACTTGATGTCTCAAAATCCAAAAAGAATGATTTACATAATCAAATCAATAATTTATCTAGTTTAGAGTGAAAAGCATTAGTTTGAATGAACAGTTACATGTTACACTTTTTTCAGTGTACTTAAGAAAAAAAACCCAACAGGTTTTCTGTATTTAAATGTGTCTTTGCCCGGCAGGTAACGATGACATCATTCAAGCTGAGGTGAACTGCAAGCACGCTCAGATGGAGGTTTCTATCTCCAAGTGCAAACTCTTCCAGCTGGGCTTCGAACGAGAAGACGTGAGGATCAACGACGAGCGCTGCGCCGGCATCGAGGGAGAGGATTTCATCTCCTTCCACATCAACAACACTAAAGGCCACTGCGGCTCCATCGTACAGGTCCATCACTTTGCTCCTTTCATCAAGATAGACTGAAGGCCTGCAGGGTTCTTAACACCGCATGCTGTGCACCATAAAAAAATTAATGCATATATTTTTTTACCCTGCAGTCAAACGGCACACACATCATGTATAAGAACACGGTGTGGATAGAAAGTGTGAACAACACCGGCAACGTCATCACCAGAGACAAGACCATCAACGTGGAGTTTTCCTGTGCTTACGAGCTGGACCTGAAGATCTCTCTGGAGACCGTCCTCAAGCCCATGCTCAGGTCTGACTCAGGGGTCGGCTGCACAACTTCACCGTAAAACAGGCAGATTTATTTTATCTATATGAAATATTTTATGTAGATCAGTCCATCCATGCATCCATTTTCTTTCACGCTTATCCCTTCTGGGGTCATAAGGCGTGCTGGTGCCCATCTCCAGCTATCTATGGGCGAGAGGCGGGGTACACCCTAGACAAGTCGCCAGTCTATCGCAGGGCAACACTATTTTATATAGATAAGATATAAAAATGTGTATATAGATAAGAATAAAATATTTCATCTACAACTTCTAAAGCGTTTGATGGGAAGACACAGGAGAAAAATGGAAGATATTTACATTAATTGCAAAAAGTACTTTTATTCATTAGTAAAGCAAATGCCAGAATTAAAAAAAAGGTAAAACCCTGAAACTTTTTATTGATTTTTCCATCAATGTATAGATGTTATAGCCTCGTGAGACCATCCTGATCTTGCGAGCTTTCAAGGTTTCACTCGCAGATCAGTCTGGAGACTCTCCGTTAAAGAAAATTTGGAGCCGTTCACCAAACGAACGTCCAATCAGCGTTGGCTTTAAGGTGGGTTGAGGTGTGATGCAACGAGAAGCGCAACAGTTCAGTCTAAAGAACATGCCGGCTTCAGCCGATGAAACTAGCGTTAGCATGGTTTATCAAGCAAGTTTTATCGGAATTACAGAGTATTTCTTCACTGAAAGAAGAGCAAAACACTGCTCTGGAGGCTTTTCTCAGAGGAAAAGATGTTTTTGCTCTTCTCCCGACTGATTTCAGCAAGAGTAGCCTGGCTTGTATTTGTGTTTTCGTCGTCGCTCTGTTAGTACGTCATATGCTTCATTGATCTGATTGGTTTATTTGGCCCGTCTATCACCAACATACGCCAATCAGCTAACCAGTATTTTGGCCCCTTCCCAAAATTACTTCAACGGAAGGTTTCCAGATGGATATGCGGAGCAATTCCATCTGGCGGAGTCAGGTTATAGATGTTAGGAGCATGGATAGATGTTGTCATCTCTCAAAAAAATTTACATAGAAACATTATCATCAGGATCTAATTAGATTCATTCAATTTATAGATCATAGATCAATAGTTTCTATCGTGGTTCTAGAGAATAAGAAGACATAATGAGTAAAGATTATCAGAGAGGAAACCTTTTATTGTTTGAATGGTTACTGGGCTAAAGTCATCTGTATGGATATCGGTCTCCGTTTTCATAAATACACATATGTGATTCATACATGCTCAGGACAAGCTCCCCAACACAGCACGATTCACGCAAGCACAGAAAAATTCACACACCCACAATACAAGATCCACACACACACAGCTCTGAGATTGGTTGCTAACTATCCCCTGTTTAAAAAGTGCATTTGTGTATGGAGGCACGTCAGGAGAGTTTAAAAAATCCACACACAAATGCAGTGAAGTTTAAAGACCACTGGTACTTTGTAATTTCATTTATAATTTTTTTATGGACAAGAAATACTTTGGCGAATCATGTGCCGTGCATGTGTGAATCTTGTATGGTTGCATGAATCGTGTTGTGTTTGTGGAGCTTGTCCTGTGCATGTATGAATCGCATATGCGTATATGTGAAAATTGAGACCGATTTAACTCCTTATATTTGCAATTAGAACAAAGTTTCAGTTTAAGTGCGACACCTCAAGCCGGATGAGGGCCAAAGCTTATCTTCCACTCCAGCAGAAGGCGGGGGGTAAAGTAGGGAAAAGCATCTCCATGGGAACCATTTATTTTAACGCTTTTGTTCACTTATATTTACCAGGGCTGATCCGACTATTTCAGGACAAAATGACTGATGATTTTGTTCTTCTTTTTTTCCACCAGCGTGATCAACCTCACTCTGCCGACCCAGGAGGGAAACTTCATCACCAAGATGGCTCTCTACAAGAACTCCTCGTACCGCAACCCATACAGGGAGGGGGAGGTGGTTCTCAGCACCCGGGACATTCTGTTTGTGGGCGTCTTTGTGGAGGGAGCAGATGTAAACCAGCTCATACTCATTGTGAACATGTGCTGGGCCACGCCATCGCGATACAGCAGCGACAGACTCCGTTATATCATCATAGAGCGGGGGTAGGTCTTTTTAGTCCCAGATAACCACACATGCCCTCATGTGTGGTTATCTGGTTATCTTTAGCCTTTAAAAACTTCTCTAAAGAATTTTTGCCACAGAAAGATGGGAAAATTATGTCAAGATTAAAGATTTTACCACAGCATCTTAGTCAGATTTAGACTTTTTTCAATTCAAAATGTCAGAATTAGCATTGAGTTTGAGGGTTTATAGAGTGGACCAAAACAACGCCTTGTTTTGACTTAGACAACATGCAAATTGAACAGCCCCTTAAGAACGGGGAGTCGTTTTGGGTTCTTTGTTAGTCTGCAAAACTTGATACTGATCTATACCTCTGAAAGGGGGTCATTGGGGTCAATTGTTGGCCTGGCTGACCAGGCGAGATGTTTTACTTTTGAGAAGGATTTTCCTTCTTTTTGTTTTCCATTTGGTTCTCACTCTGGTTCTCTAGTGACCAACAAATCTTTCCAGGCAGAACATGTCAGTGCATTTGGCTCTTATCTCAGTCCCTGGTTTTCTGATTTCTTAATTCTGCAGGTCTGCCATCAATCTACTATAGTGGGGCTGGAAAAGTGAAGCTACTTTTGTGAACAATCAGTTCTTTCATGACTTAAGGAGGGTAATATGTTTTGCAGATAGTTCCCTGTTAGTTTGCAAAGTAATTTTTCAGAAGATCCCTACAGTGCCTGAGGAGTGCAACTGAAGTGCCCATGAATCAATTCACAGCTAATTAAAAAGGTCCTGCAAATATAAAAAGAGACAAGCAAACACACAAACACTTGCAAAGGAGAAACGCTGTAATCACAGAAAATAGTGTATATATATATATATATATATATATATATATATATATATATATATATATATATATATATATATATATATATATATATATATATTATAGATAGATAGATAGATAGATAGATAGATAGATATGCATGCACACTTTGCAAATAGAAAAATACTATAGCAGTAACGTAGATGTACTTGTAATTTAGTATTGATGTGAAATCTTGAAATTATATGTAATTACCATAACAATGTAATCAATACATGAATATTACATGCACATCATCAATTTAGCACTTTTGGCACTTTTGGTGTGTGTGTGTGTGTGTGTGTGTGTGTGTGTGTGTGTGTGTGTGTGTGTGTGTGTGTGTGTGTGTGTGTGTGTGTGTGTGTCTGTACCTGTCTAATCCTCAGATTGAGGACCATTTTTCCAATTTCACCATCAAATTGAGGACCAGTTGCAAAGTGAGGACATTTTGCCGGTCCTCACATGCTGTTTTGCTAATGGTTAGGTTTAGGGATAAGGTGTCATTGGGTTAGGGTTAGGGTGAGATATGCATTGGTAATGGTTAGGTTTAGGGTTAGTTTAAGGTTTAGGGCATAGAAAGAGTTGAAAATGACTGAAAATCAATGGAAGTCAATGGGAGTCAACATATGGTCCTCACTACAATGGCTGAACGAATATGTGTGTGTGTGTGTGTACATGAGTGTGTAATATCCTTAATATCTAAGTACTGTATTATCATACTCAATTAACACACTAATTTTGTTGTGATAGATTTGTATAAAATGTTATATTACATTGACTTCATGGACTTCCTACTGGATATGCACTGTGATGTGCCTATCTTTTACCATAAACTACAGTAATCTACTGATGCTATGAAACAGCAAGTGTGTGTTAAAGTGATGAATTTAACTTTATTTTAAAAGTCTTAAGCGCCCGGAAAATTACAACATAGTGGTTGTTCGATGCTGTAGTGCACGTATTTGTTTACGGCCTAACTAGGGAGTACCAATATGGCAGCTATTGACTTCACAGCAACGTTTTTTCTGCTTTGTATTATATGAATTACTAGGGTGAATTTATAATTCTCTTAAAAAGGAGGGTATACAAACTTTCAAGCACAACTGTATTTACTCTCTGGAATAGAAAAAAAAGCTCTGGGATACAATCCGGCAGGGATCTATTTTCTTGCTTTGTACATTAATTGTATTGCTGTATAATATATAAGATCTATAAATAGCCGATTAGTATGGTCAAAAAACCTGCGTTATTTATAATATAAATTGTTCTTTTTTTGCTACAACTCAATCTTTTCTATTGCATTTTTCTCCACACAGTATTTGAAATAAGTATGTATCAGAAAGTAATATATTAAATACAAACCTTTCAAAGTTAGCATGTTATTTGTTTAACTCAAAATTGACATTGACTTTTAGTTTAAATTTTCTCTTATCTTGGAGCTGTATTTGCTGCTTCCACCAACTTTCCTTTGCATGTGCTTTTGTGTGTCAGCATCATTTATGTGTTAGCAGTGGGTTTGGGTTTGCAGGGTGTTTACACTTTGCTGCTCTCTGTTTTAAGTGTTTGATGTATTCCTCCTACAGTAAGCATTTTTCCTTGGCATGTGTTGTGTGTGGTTGTGTGTTAGTCCCATCTTTCTGTTTGAAAAAATCAAATCTTTTTCTGTTTGATCTGAATTTATACATTTGTACAACATTTGCACCCCTCTGCCATAGATTTCTCAAATGTTTCGCATTGTCCCCCTTAAAATGAAGCAAAGATAATATAGAACTATTCTGAAAACACATTTTTGGACTGTTTATTGCAACATAGTTCTATAACACCTACCTGCCAGGTGCCCAAACACAAAGGACAACACCATCGGGATGGCGGAGAATGGCGTGTCCCTCACCTGTCGCTTCCACGTCACCGTCTTCAAGTTCATCGGAGACTATGATGAGGTCCACCTACACTGTGACGTTACGCTCTGTGACTCAGACACAAACGCCTGCAAAGTGGTGAGAACCTGAAGAAAACTATTCACAGTAGAAATTATGTTCTTTTTTTTTAGCTTGAAGTTAAAATATTTGTCCTGCTCCTCCAGAACTGTCCTCACAAGAGGAGAATGTACTCGGAAGACAGTGACCATAAGGAGCACATCCTGACAGTTGGACCCATCAGAAGAAGAGGTTTGAAAGCTCCTCTTTAGAGCCATATTACGATAAATCCTGATGACCACAATTAGTTACACAAACCTTTGAACACAACTGGTGATGCTGAGGAAAAATTATTTTGTTTCAAACAACACAGATTTTTTTATGCTGCTAAAACAATCAGCACTGCAGCATGTGGCTCAGTACGATTCTTTTTGATCGTTATCCAGCAGAGGTGTAATGGTAAACAGATATACTGGAAAAGTACAGTACAGTCCTTGGGGTTTGGAGCAACTCTGAGTTTAACCAGTTATAAACAGAGATGGCAAAAGTACTCACTTTCCGTACTTGAGTAAAAGTACAGATACTTGTGTTAAAAAATACTCTGGTAAAAGTGGAAGTACTGATTAAACTTCTTTACTCAAGTAAAAGTAACAAAGTACAGGCTTGTAAATTTACTTAAAATATAAAAGTAGAAGTAGAAACCACTTTTTTCATGCCGTTGCCTACATTTTAAATGGATGTCTGCCAAAAGGACTAGATCTCCGTTGTGTTCATTTTCAATCATCTCGTCGTCCATGCTACTATGCTAACGCCACCGCCACCAAGCTGCAATGATTTGCCGCCAATGAATACCGCCGAATCTGTCGATTCATCTTGTAGTGGTGCGTCAAATGCAACGTAGATTCCCATCCAATTAGATTGAATTTGGTATTGATGACGTGAAAAATAATAACGGTAACTCCATTGAAATGATTCAAAACTAAAGTAACGAGCCAATTTTTTAAAATGTAAGGAGTAGAAAGTACAGATATTTGTGTAAAAATGTAAGGAGTAGAAGTAAAAAGTCGCCATAAAAATAAGTAGTAAAGTAAAGTAAAAATATCAGAAAAATCTACTTGAGTACAGTAACGAAGTATTTGTACTTCGTTACTTCCCATCTCTGGTTATAAAGCAGAAAAAATGTAGAATGTTATGTGCAGCGCATGCAGAAAGCTGCAGACAAATTTTGTACTTTCGCTGGCAGAGAAAAAAGGAGGACAGTCCTGATAGCATTCAATCAGCCTGTGGATCACTTAAAGGTATAGTGGAGGATTTTCCCGAATTTTTTAAAAGACCCGCCCTCTCCACTTCAAAAAAGAAAAAGAAAAAAATGCACATGCAAAACCCTGTACTCCCTCCTGAGAGGGACGGCCTTATGTAAACATATCACCAGAATGATTGACAATTAGGAGGACCACTTATTTTGATGATCCACCTGGAAGAAGAACATCCTGCACTACACCTTTAAATATCAAAGCTCAAAGGGGATCTTATTCTCAATGAGTGCCAACTATTCTAAATGTCCTAAATTACAAACTTCACCATTTCCATGTGGTTTTATTGGTTTTGCTTTTATTTATGCACTGACTTTAACCTAATTATTTTTAACTAATTATAAATAATCAAAACAAAAAGAGATAAATAGAATCTCTTGATCAAAGTGTACTGATTATGTCCCAAATTGTTCTGGAAAAACTGATGTACTGAATTGGGACTTTACTGTACCTTTACACGCCTTCTACATGTAGAATGACAGAAATTAATGTACAAGAGGAAATTCAATAAAAGTAACCCATAGTTTGGCTCCTGAGATAACTCTTTCAAAGGAAATTTAAAAAAGACAGAACTAAATGTGTATGGAAGTGGAATCTAGGGAAAACAACACCAAAAAACACTCACAACAAATTCAAAAAAATTCAACTTGACAATATTTGCAAAAAAGCTGATAAGTAACTCTGAGTTATTTTTATCAGAAAGTTCATTACTAAAACGTTCTTTCTGCTTCTCCAGAATCAGACTGGTGTGAGGAAGACAACGGTGGCTGCGAGCAGATCTGCACCAGTAAGGCCACCGGTCCCATCTGCAGCTGTGTGACGGGGATGCTGCAGCCTGATGGGAAAAGCTGCCGCAGTAAGAATCAGCACATGACATATGTTTTTTATACAGTGAAAAAACCCTGCAATCTTTATAAAAAAAATATATTTTAATCAAAATGTTTTAAAATCTTATTTTTTTTCCTAAAATATCAACCAGCAGCCGTCACTAGAGATTCATTCAGATGGATGTTTTCCTACAGACTAGTTTTTTAGTTTAATGCTTCATAAATACATTTATATCTCATACTCAAAACAATTATACAATTACTGTGATTTTCAGGAACTTTAGCTGTTTTTTCTATTTATTTCTATCTCTTATTCTCTCATGAAAAATGTAATTAGTTTCATGATTGAATCTTTTTTTTACTCATACAGTCTTCGGCTCAGATATGAGATTTGTGGGTTTAAAGGGGTCATAGAGAGATTCTATAGGGTATCTGGCAGTGTTGTGGTCAAGACCACCTAACCCGAGACCAAGACAAGACCAAGACTTTTAGGGTCCGAAACCAAGTCAAGACCAAGACCAAGGGAAGTCGAGACCAAGTCAAGACCAAGACCAGCGCCAGTATGTGACAATAAAATGTGAAACATGATCAAAATCAGTAAAATTGATCTTAAAGACCCACATTCACATAAAAACACCTAGATATTTAACACACAGAACTGGACTAAACATTAACATCTTTATTTAGTACTTCTGTGTAGTAATCACAGAATTTCAAACAATTAATCAAAGTCGATCAAAATTGTATTTTCTCTGCCGTTCATCAACAGTACATACATTTATGTTGTTTTTAAATGTGCTATTTCAAAACAATGTGCAAAATTCTGTAAAATGTAAAACTAAAAAAGCCAATCATTTCTCTTGTTTCTCTCTCATATACAGATTAAAGCTATATTATATAACTTTTTTTAAATGAATCTATATCTGATTTGAATCCAAGCATCCAATAAAAAGAAGGATCTTAAAGAAACTGATAATATTCTGATGATTAGCGTTATTTCCACAGTTGCGGTCTTGACAGTCTTGAAATGAAATGCCGAGTACTCAGCGCCCGAGACCGAGACAAGACCGAGACCAAATGCGGTCAAGTCCTAAATGAGACCGAGACCATCAAAAAATGGTCTCGAGACCAAGACCGATCTCGAGTACTACAACACTGGTATCTGGTGTTGGTCCTTAAGGTCTCTGAATAGGGTGTGTAACATTGTTTGGGCTGAAAATGGCATATTCGCTGTTCTTTGAGCCCTAATGCAAGCCTGGTTAAAAGGAAATGACAGGTTTTTCTTCCTTTTATGGTATGCTCATGAATATTTAGATGAGCTGTGCGCTGATTGGTTGGTTTACAACGAGTGAAGCTGCTGAGCAAAGACGTATCATAGCAACAAGCACTCACTCACTGAAAATTGTTGATATGGTAGGGTGACCAGACGTCCTCTTCTTTACCCGGACATGTCCTACTTTTCATACCCAAAAAAATGTCCGGGGGGAATTTCAAAATCGTGCGGGTGCAGCGCGTAGTCGAAACACGCTCAACTCCGTGGTTGGTCCAGGAACCCCGGCATTCGGGGGCAGGGAGCCAGCGGTGGTCGGAGTGACCGAACCCGACCCGGTGATGGTAGCCTGGACACCGACGACCCTGTGCTTCCCCCCGCCTGCCTTAACGGTCCCCGGCCCCCCTCCTCCAGCTGAAGATGGTCCGGTCCAATCAGCGGCCCAGCGGTCGACACTTCATACCCCCCCAACCCCCGCCCTCCCTTGTTAACTAGTGAACCAGTGGGCGGTCTGCATGTCAATTTCGGGGCATCACAAAAGTACAGGCCAGAACCAAATAAGGGAACTTCCCCGAATTGACGTCAACTCAGTGCTCTGTTTGGATTCACCCGTTTTATGGTGGAAGTTTAAAATTGTGAGATTTGCAGAGAAAGGAGGTGTCAATGGGGTTTGAACTTCTGTGTACGTTTATTTCACCCACTGAACTATCGTTATTCATCTATGACAAGGTAAACTCGGTTTTGCATTCAATGACCCCTTTAAATGACTGAGATCGGCTCTTTCTAGAGCTCCAGTTTAACTCTGTTAAATGAAACCATTGTCTGTCGCCGGTAATCACACACTACTGATGACCCACTTGAACATCTGAAATGTTCCTTTAAAGAAATCCTTCACAGATATCAGTGTTTTTTGGGGACAGGTTGTTGTCAGTGTTGTAATCAACACCTGCGAGTCAGTGCGCAGGGCGCTGAGTTCCCACCAGCAGGTTCGCAGCAGCTGCTGTGTGAAATCTTTTCCAGCAAAGCAAATCAAGATGATCCATATTTTTTTCTTGGGATTAGATATAGACTCAATGACCAGTTCTATAAACATAGAAAAAAATTCAGATGTAATTTTTTTAAAATCTAATACAGCAAAGGAGGCACAAAAACAGGTTAACAACATATAGGATTGTCTAGGTCAATTCATTATCATGACTCTTTGAGGCAATCGATAGGATTTCTGATGGAATTATTAATAAAACAAACAGCTTTATCCTAATTAATTACATTATTATCAAAGAGTTGCGTAATTACGGCAGGGAGCTACTAATCCCCTTAAGATGGGTTTACTAGGCTTCAAACAGCTGTTGCTAAAGAAGCTGGTTAATGGAAAGTTTTGTGGACGGAAAAGGTCAAAAAGCAACAGGAAAAACTGCAGCCTTGAGAGAAATGTGAAGCAAAGAGCTTGATGGAGCTTCTCAAGGTTTGGACGGCAGCTTGATCAAAGGCCTTTTGAGTCACCAAACATGAACACATCCAGACGCAGCTCTGGTGCTGATCCACTCCTGAATCAAAGCCAATATTAGAAATGTTTCTGTGGCACTTGAAGCACAGACTCAGTCCACTAATCCTTCTTTATTAAATCTTGCTCAGATTTTTTTTCTCTATTGATATTTTTTTCATTGAGTACATTTAGCGACCTACTTTAGACAGTTTCGGCGCTCCCTCCTTGCAGTGGCGCCACCAGGGGGTGGCCAGGGGTGGCCACGGCCACCCTGTGCAATGCCCTGGTCACCCCAATGAGAAGGTGTTTACTTAAGTTATTATGATTTCTACAGGCAGGTTTACCACAATAGTAGATCAAACCATGAAATGATGGTTTTTAGTTTCAGTGGCCATCCCAAGATTTTTAGTGGCCCCATCTGGCCCCCCCTGATGAAACATTTCTGGAGGCGCCACTACCTCCTTGAGTTTGCTAGTATCTGTCTGCATTACAAATGTTTAGTACTTTAGCTCTTATTAACTTAGTTAACAGCAGTGTACACTAAAAATCCCTTTGTTTGGACAAACCAACTTCTGGGTTTTGAATTGAGTTACTAAAATCCATAAACATTCCAATGCTTTTCTAATTTGTTGAGATACAACTTGAACTATTTCACAGCATTATTAAGATGTTGAGCTGACTTTCTTTGTTGAATACTTTGCTCCGCTTGCAGGAAATGTTTGGGAGCTTTTTGTTTAAAATTCATGTATATTAGGAACTATATGAACGTTTGACCAATTCTGTTGCATTTTTCCTCTCTTGCAGTTCTGAGCTCTTCCTGTAAAGTCACCCCTGCTCTTCCTCTGCTGAGCTCCAGCGCCCTAATCTCCATAATCCTGACCCACTTTAACTGCCTTATCTTTTCCTAACGCCTAAATAAAGCAACCAAATACACATCAACAGAGAAAAGACTTGAAGACTAGACCGAAATTTAAAAATCTATGAATATTTGAAAGTTGTTGTGAATTTAGTTCGTGAACATCTCTGTAGAAAACTGTTGAGCGTTAATTTCAGTCTTCCTGTTATTTAGATTCATCAGGATCTGTAATTTAAAACTACTGTGTAGAGTTTTGTTTTTTTTACATGTTTTTATAAAGTTTTCAAAATGTTCCCATTGTATTCATTTTTGTTGAAAATGTCATGTTGACAATCACCACTAGATGGCGCCAAAGAAAAGTTTTCGAATTTGAAGAAAAGGGGGAAAGTTAGGGAAAGATTACAACATATAGACAGGCAGAACAGAAAGATTAATATCACATAAGAGTTATTTGTTTGTTTGTTATTTTTGTTGTGGATAACCTCCAGTAAGCATTGCTTTTTGCCAGATCTAAGATAAATGTTTTTGAAGTTGAGTCAAAAAAAGGTTCATTGAAAATTCATTGAAATCAGTTTTTCAGCTGATAATTTCTTTCTTTTCTTCCTATTAAACCAGCTAATTTGCAGTAATTTTAAAGCATTTTATTATTCTGCTAAATAAAAATACATCCTCCACCCTTTCATTCATTAAATTCTATTCCCCTTAGTTTTAAAAAAGTATTAGTATTTCATTTAGGTTAATTAAGAAACACATTGTATGAAAAGAAGTGTAAGAGCACGTTGCAGGTTTTCAAGTGGGTTTAAGTTAAACAAAGTGTTTCTCCGTCCTGTTTTAAAATCCTAAAGATCACTTTTTGCTGCATCAAATGTAGAAGCAATCTGCTTTTGGAGTGTTGGAGCTGTTCAATGCAGTAAGTAGCCAGTTCCTGCTCCTTTGGCTCTTCCGGTATTGTGTTTTCTTCTGTCTCAAAAGTTGCTCTGAAGTCCCTTCAACTCCAGGCTGAAAATTAAACATGCACACACAGTTTCCAACTGATTTTACCTTTTTTTTTTTTTTTTTTTTTTTTTACAATAGCAACAAACACAAAAGCTAGCAAAGATACTCAATATTATTATGTATTTACGGCAGCCGCTGTAGCTTTGGATGCATTAGTCTAGGTCAGTGTTTTTCCAAGAAGAAGGCTACAAAAAATTGGAGCAGAAACAAAAAACAATAGCAAAAATAAAAAGATTAAATGTAGTTATTTTACCCACAATTCCCATAAATACAATAAAATGATAGTAAAATCTGTCTTATTAATGGTAATTGAAATACTAGCTCAGAAGATTTCAATTTCAACTTTGAAGTTTGCATGAAAGGAATATCCCACCTCGGCTTACAGGACAGAGCATTCATCCTCCCTTTTGCAGCAGCATATTTGTCTACGTTAAACTATTTAACTTTATAAACAAGACGAGCTTTCCACACACACACTTGAAAGAGGGTTGATTTCTTTTGCTCTGTTCTTCACAGCAAAAGCAAACAACAGCTTGTTGAGGTTAAACAGAAATATAATAGTGTTAAAAACATTCTAGTTGACATCACTATACTAAACACATTTTATAGTTATTGAAAGGGGAATAAAAGTAGTAAAACTGTAACTTTGCAAAGAGGGTCCAAATCCAATAGCAAATGCTGTTTAGAAGGCTACGGGGTGGAGAAGTTTTTGAACCCCTGGGGGTTAATCTTCCAAACAAAAGCCAGTGTTTTCAAAAAAGAAAAACAAAAAACACAAGTTGCATCATTTTAAGTAAAAAAGGAATTTGCAGTAACTGCTGACAAATAGGCTCATTGTGGAGGTGTTGCATTTCTAAGTGGAATATTTTAACTATAAGCCCCCTATGGTTGGCAAAAAAAGCTCAACTTATTGTCAAGAATTCAATCTAAATTAGGCTGTTTTTCAGAAAATTTGAATAACTAATATTACATCCACATATTAATTCAGATTATGTTTTTTTAAGTCCAAACCGAGCGCAATCTAAAACCTTAACTCATTTACTAAGACGCTCACAGACAGTCTCCCCCCGCTCGCCTCGATGGATTAAAACATTCCTCAAACTTTACAATCCAAGAATACATTTCTATCCTTAGTCCAGCTAAAGAAAAGTCTTTCAAATGTTAATAATTTCCTTTTATAATAAGACAGCATATCATATTATTTAAATATCCTCTATGGACAATGTGTTGCTATTTTTAAAAGCTCTCACACTGGAATAAACGATCTAGAAATAACAAAAAATGTCTTAAATTAAGTGTATTTACCATTAATTTGAGTAGGTAATTGAGATGGTTTGCCAATATAATGAGTATTTTTACTCTTAAAATAAGATAATAAGATAATATGCACTTTAAATAAGACAATGCAATTGAGTTTTCTTATTTTAAGTGTAAATTGTCTTGTTACATTGGCAAGATGTCTCTTTTACCTCCTCAATCCAAGAACAAATACATTAATTTTAAGAAAAAATGACTTATCTAGATTTCTATTTTTTTCCAGTGCAAGCTGCAGATTTCCAAACCTCTGTTGTTTGATGGATTATGAGGGAGGAAAGCAATCTGTGAAAGTATTTCATAATGTTTACATTATGATTGAATGCATGGTGAGCTACACAAATATTTAATAAGTGAAACATTTGTGTGTGAAAAGCCTCCCCAGATAATATCCTCATAACTTTAGCAAACATACAACAAAAAACCCAGAGTATAGTTTGGTTGTAGGGAATATATTTAGTTTTGCTTTTTGTGTACTTTTTGTCTCTGTCGATGCGATTGGTGTAGTTTTCCATGAAGGATTGTCATATGATACTGAGGCATTGAGGCGGAGGGAAAGTACTGCATTCCTCACTTCTCTCACAGTCGTTTTCTGTCTGTTTGTCTCCTCCTCACCTTACAAACCTCTGATCTCCCAGAGGAGGGATAAAATTTTAATTCAGCCTCATTGCAAATTCCTCAGTGGCAAGGCTTTTTTTTCCTTCTGTGTACAAGCTTAAAGTCCTCTTCATTTTGTTAAAATATCTTCTTAATATAAAAAAATCCAACAGGTGTTGTTCTTTTTCCTTTATTTGAGAGCAAAATCCTATTTCCTTTAAGTAAATGTTTCATCACCAGTGCATTTGTTCAATGAATGCAAGCATGCACTGGAAAAAATTGAAATCCAAATAAGTCATTTTTTCTAAATATAAGTACATTTGTTCTTGAATTGAGGAGGTAAGAGAGAAACTTTGCCAATGGAATACGACAATTTACATTTAAATAAAAAAAAAAACAATTGCATTGTCTTATTTCAAGTGCATATTATCTAATTATCTTATTTTAAGAGTAAAAATATCCATTCCATTGACAAATCATCTTATTTACCTACTAAAATTAAGAGTTAATACAGTTAATTTAATAAATACTGACTTATTTCTAGATAATTTTTGCAGTGTGGCTGCACCGCCCTTATCACACCACCGTACACCAGCTGAGTAACCGCATGAGAAACAAATTGGGTCCACAATAATAAAAGGCAACATTTTTTTACTATATCCAACCCCGTGAAGTCACTTCAAACATGCAGAACAGGCCTAACATCTGCCTCGCTCCAGTGTTGTGGTTAATTTGTCTCCAGGTTACAGTTACTATGCAGTAAATCAATAAAAATGGAACGCTGTCAGACGCTTCACACCTTCTTGAGAGAAATCAGGCTGAATCTGACAGACAGTGAATAATATGAGGAGTTTAAGTTTTCTGGCGTTTGTCAGTAACCAGCGACATCCGATAGGAGCTGGATGGTAATGAAGGCAATGATTAAAGAAACATTAGATGGCAAGATCAACTAAGAATCTTTCCCTCCTCCATGAAACTTAAGAGGAAGAAGAGAAGTGTTAAGAAGCATCTGAAGAGTACGGAAGAGGGTTAGGGCCACTGAAAAAATAAAAAAAGTTAACTGATTTTTAACTTTTATTTCAGTAAAATATGAGAAAAAAAGTCAGAATTTTGACTTCAATCTCAGAATTCTGATTTTTTTTCACAGAATTCATTTGGGTCCTCAACTAATACTTACAACTTTGTACTCTTTACATTTTTAAAATGGACTTGCTAGTTTTGTTTCATTTAAGCTCATTTTCATTATGGCTGGTTGGAATAAAATAAATAAATAAAAAGCATCAAAATAATTTGTTCCAGACTAGTTCGTAAGAAATCGTACGAAAAGTTATGCACCGTAATTTCGTGCGTTTTAGACGTTTTTTCGTCGCATTTCGTCGTATTTTTACGTCTTGCCTCGAGACAAGATATCCTTGCGCATGCGCATCTTACGCACCATTAAATAACATCGAATTTAACATACAATTAACCCTAACCCTAAGATACAAAACAGCAAGCAACGTAGTTAGAGACCTGAAGAAGTGATTATTGCACTGTTTTTCCCAGTTTTACGTCCGTCCGCGGATCTGCTTTTTTCGTCTGTCTGGCTGCGCATGCGCACTGATCTGTATTTTCGAGGAAAAACGTACGAAATACTGTGCATAACTTTTCGTACGATTTCATACGAACTAATAATGAGAATATGTTGTTTATTTCCTTTGTGGTTGGACTCGGTCCTGCACCAACTTGTTGTTCTCCATATACCGACATAAATAGTTTTTCAAGCAAAGTTTAATCTGACACTGTTACATTTGGTTATAAAACTAAGAAAATTAACTATAAGGAAGTTATCATCCACCATTGTATGAAAAAGGTTCCTTTAATAGGGTAGTGCAGTAACCAGTATAAGGTTTACAGCATCTGTCCTTAACATTTTTCCCTGCATTACTTGTATATTTTAAGTCGTTTTGAAAATGGTGCTTTTACATTAAAGCTTAAGTTGAAACAATAGGATTTCTACTTCTACTTGAGAAATAAACATGATTACTTTTGAAACCTTTGGAGATATATGCTTCAAAGAACATGCAATCAAGACCTTTTTTCAACCACTATGAGACAATAATGCTTTAGTTTACCTGCATATAACAGGTATAGTTTTATTAGACCAGGATCATTTAAAAAGGGGTCTGATTCATAGAATACCTCGCATGCTTTAGTTTAACGAAACATGAACCCATAAACAGACATTTGTTGAGAACCAAAACAAGATAGAAGACATTTAAAGCTGTTATGGGTTAAAACACATACATGGACATACAGTCTTCTCTGCTGTTTAATGGCTTTTTACAGATTAGCTCAGCAGGAAAGTTTCATTGTTCTGCAAGAATAACAGAAACTTCCAGCGAAAGTTGAGCTTGTTCCCCAAAAATGTTGCAGTTGTTTTTGTCTGGGGAAATCCTCTCTGAGGATGATCTACTTACCTTTAGGCTCCGCTAAAAGTTTTCCACTCCATTTTCAGGGATTCAACAGAACACAAGCAGTCTGATGTGAGAGTCAAATTCTGGAATAAGCTTCACCTCAGGGGGATCATGTTACGTATCAGTGATATTATTTTTCTCATTAAGAGTTTCTGTTTTCCAAGGTCTCTAAAAAAACAGGTGTCAAACTCCAATCCTCGAGGGACCCTGTCCTGAAACTTTAGGATGTTTTTTTGCTTTAACACACCTGAATGGAAAAAGTAGGTCAATAGCAAGGCTCTGTAGGGCCCTGGCCCAGTACCACACTTCACCCTATCCTCATCTACGTAGTGTTTACTTGGTAGAAGTCCATGTAAGGGCAGGCTTGTGTAGAGTACAAACCTACAAAATGGCAGCTAATGGCAGAAACGTTGGCATCAAAGTATGGGTAATA